TCGGCATCATTACCCTTCATCAGCGCATCTCCCACTACCACTACGATTCATAACCACGAGTAGGAGAATCACGCGTCACATCAAGAATACACTTACAAGATTATTATCACTCATGTTACCTGAAGAAACTCTCATCTATTCATTGTATTATACATTCAATCTCACCTCAATTGACCACTGATTATTTATTATATCATTATATTCAATAAAAGGAAAAGCTACTCATATAATGGCAGTGTTGAATTATTATTGCATTGTCCATTACACTTGCCAGCAAGCCTCCCACCCACCATCTCAGGGAAGCTTTTAGTCTGTTCCCAGACACAAATAATAAAAATAAATTTCATTTTATTATCTTTGCAATTATATCATAAAAAGGAAGTACCCTCATTTTTGTATTTTTAATTAAATAATTATCTTTTTTATGAAAATACATTTAATGTAATTATTTATTATTATTAATATATTTTTTATGAATTAGAATTTTATTTTTTTGCGATCATCATATAGATGTGTAATATTTTATCATAATGCAAAATAAATATTTTAATTTATTAATTATAAATTTCATTTATCAAAATTAAATTAGTTTGAATTGATTTTGAATTTCAAAGTTGATATATACAATTTGTATGAATTTATTAATTGAAATTTGTAAAGATATATTATCGTTAATAATATAAATGAATATTTATATTATTCCATCCTATTCGGAATTGGAACATTGTATTCGAGGCCTTCGGTTCTCGGAATGTTTATATTTACTCACAGTGATTTCTCAATTATCCAAAAGTTAATTCTCGAACGCTCTATAAGGCTGCTTAGTCTTCGCGTAGCAACGTTGATTCAATTCTCGAAACTTCCAAGGTTTGCTTTCGCCGAATTCTCAAGTAGCCGAAAGCTTGGATACCCGATCTTTTCCGAAGGCTGCTTGGCCTCGAACACTTGCGTAGCTTTCGTCGAATTCTCAAGTAGCTGAAAGATTGCATTCCTGATCGTTTCCGAAGGTTGCTTAGCCTCGAACGATTACATTTGCTTTCGCCGAATTCTCAAATAGCCGAAAGCTCGTTTCGAGCTCATGGCTGAGTAGCTGTTTGACTGAATAATTTACAATGAGCATCTAGGCGTAGTGTGCTTCCCTTAAATACCCGCGCCGCAGCTTTCTTAGCTGGCAACAAAGCATCGTTGTCGCTGCACTGGAATCTTACATGAGGCGCAGAAAGAAACCTCTAGAAGGTTCGAGAATTTTAAGAAAAAAATAATACTTATGAAATTTGTAGAATTCATAACGACATTACTATGTCTAGGCCATATAGACATTGTAGGCCATTTGAAACCAAAACATAACAAACACTCGAAAATTCTCGTATCCAACTGTTTACAGAAATATGAGAGCTAAAGGGACTAGCGATTCCGAGAGCCAACTGTCTTGAACGTTGCTTCAATCCTGAAGACAATTTATATTATTAATAATATTGATCTTATAAAAAATTATTTATTCCAATTAGTGATAAAATTAATGACATTTCAATATCAAATATTAAAAGTAAACAAATGAAATAAAAATGTTAAAAAAATGAAGGATGACAACTTCTTAAAATATCATGTTCATGTTCAAAGGGTATCAATTTTTCTAAATTTTTAGTTATTTTTATTGAAATTAAAAAATTTATTATCATATTAAAAAACTTAAAATAATTAACAAAATTAGTATCATAATTATTGTTATTTGTATATTACTATTGGAATTGTTTTAATTGCAAATTCAATATAATATAATTAATTTAAATTAATAATAAAGTATCTGATAAAAAGTATTATTTTGATTGAATAAAATATATAATTTTACATTATTTTTATTAAATTATTAAAAATATTTATTATAAGTTACATAAAATTAATGAATATTTTCAATTATAGAAAAATAATATTCATTAATATAAATCAATTATAATATAAGAATAAATATAACACATACGTTTTATATATAATCTCTGCTTAACGTAGAACGATGTGAGAGAGATTGATGTAAGATAGATTGAAATTGTTAATTTTGTAGAATTTAATCTGTATTATAGAATTAATAATATTGATGTAAATAATTTAAAGTTTATTTTGGATTCTGTTTAATAAAATACTATTTATTGTATTAAATTTTATAAGAAATATTTTTTTATGAATGACATCAAGCATTGTGTATTATATTTAATTATTAAATAGTTGCTTTTGTATATAAAAAAATTAAATAAATTGTGATTTCTAAAATGTGTAAAAGAAATTTTTATATAATTAATATAATACTTTATTTGATTTTTAAACAAAAATAATAAAAAATTACTCAAAAATATATTATTTAGTAGAAAAAATCACTAGATGAGTTATAAAATTGTATTATATAAAGATAATATTTTTCTATTAAAAATAAGAATTACCTTTAAAATATATTTAATACACATTTTATACAAATTTTTTAGAGATGGCGAGAAAGATGGTTTACACTTAGACACAGTGGAGAATTGCCTGATCAATATTTTCTGGAATATTATACAGATAAGAAATGTCGAAAATTAAAAGGAAAAATTGATCTTGATCAATGCGAGCAAGTAATAAAGAAAAAATATTGGTTTGAATAAAAAAAACAGTATATTTTATTGCTACATATTAAAAATAGGTTGATGCAGGTCTAAGATTTGAAAATCGAAAACAAAAGTATCAATTTATGTTTAATGTGAAGACACCAAAAAGAACATATTATCTTGTTGCTAAAAATGAAGCTGATATGAATAAATGGGTTGATGCTGTTTGTCACGTTTGTGGATTAAAACCTCAAGATGATGAACAACAATGTCAATGTTAGTTATGTTTTACTAAACTTTTCTATATTTAGAGTAGAAAATAAAATAATTATAATTTATTATTTATTAATTATTAATTAATAAATTAATATTATTTATTAATAAAAGAATTATTAATTATATAAATAATTTTCGAAACCTAGTATTAGTATAGATTAATAATTAAAATTAAAATTTCCTATACATTCGTTTAAAAAATTATTTAATTCTATATACAATACAATATAATATATGTTTTATGTAAGTATATGTAATATTTATATCCTATTTAATTCTTTATCATTGTTTTTTTTTGTTATTAAAATATCAAATGTCATTGTGAATATTTTTTGTAATTAATTAGTTATGTTATAGTGAATTCATTTGAAATTCAAGAATCACCACCCATTTCACCTACAAGTACAATATCTGGTCCATACATTCCTATAAGTGAGTGTATATCTGGTCGAAGTCTTAACGACTCAAGTTCTCTTAGTTCTGTTTTTGGTCAACATTATGATGCTCCAAGAAGGTTAGTTCCATCACCACCAAAATCACCTGTAACAACAGATGCTGAAAGTGTTTTTACTGATGACGAATGTATGATTTCAGTACCCAGTGTTCATTGGGAAACTTTTCCATCAACAGGTAAATTAATAAATAGAATTTCTAGCATAACTGAAAATTATATAGTATATTTATGTGGCATTTAATTGAAATTAGAAAAATTATAAAATTTGTCAGATGTATTTAAATATTTGTATAGTATAAATAATAAAATATTATTACAGGTGATTCAAAATCATATAATGTTAATGATGGAAATATAGGTTCATGGAGTGTATGTAAAAGATTTGGAAAGCTGAAAATAGTTGATTCAATAATACCAACAAATGTAGAAGAGATTTCAGCTCCTCCAAGGCCTCCAAAACCTACTCATATGTCATTAGAAAATTTTGGACATAATTATTTAAATCTTGATGGCACAACTGAGAGTTCAAAACCAACTACACCAGCTATATCAGCACAAATAGTTCCAGTGTTAAGTATAATAACAGATGACACTTATGACTTTCCAAGATCTCATCAGCCTAATGTGGTAGATAGTAGCATACTAAATAAGCAGTCACAAATTAAACATTGTTATACCAATGCTGCACCAACGAATGCAGTTGGTAAGTGAATTTCATTATATAAAATGAAATCAACAACATTAATAAGAAAAGTTTATAACAATACATAATTACATATATATGCTGATACAGTTATTCGGTATAACAAAAAATATATATATACTGTTTATCATAATTATTTTTATATAAAATTTGTATATTTAAATCTAGTAACATTTATATATAAGTAATTGAAGTATATTTTACTATATTTAATTATTGACATAATATTTTTATCTATTAAATTTATTTAAAACTTATTCTACATATTTATTAAATAATATAATATATTAAAAAATAATAACAATTGATTATAGAATTTTTTTATTTTGTAGTATTAACAAAGTAATACAAATTTTATTAATTTAAAGTTTCAATGATACATTAGATACTGATGACTGCATTTTTCGATATGATTTTTATGATGACGAGCCAACAAGTTCACGTTCAGAATCATCAATGACAGCAACTTACTCCAACTTGTCGAGTCCTCTAATTAAATGTGAGATTAATGTAGCTGTTCCTTTAAGTTCGAATTTAGAGTCGCAGCTTCTTATAACCTCAACGAGTGTTATACCAACTATAGCAAAGACAGTATCGACATCACCGCCTATTGTTTATCGAGAATTGAAACCAGGCAGAAATATGAATGATAGATTGTCCATAATTAGCAGTGAACCATTACCTAGTTCGGTAGTTTTTGCTTCAACAATAACAGAAATGAGTTTGACTGAACATTCACATGCCGAGCCTCCCAGTATTAATCGCAAGCTTAAGCCACCACTAAATAATTCTTTGCATGAAAGTATAGTATATATTCACATGTTATATTATTTAGAAAGTTTAAGAAGGATAATTAAGCTAGTTTTTATTTATAAAATAATTATCTAATAAAAATCGAATTAATTTTTTAAATACATAAAAAATATAGTGAACTTATAACTTCAATTTTTATATTATATAGCTGCAGTTAATAATTGTATTAATTATTCATAATTTAATTTATCAACTTGTTATAAATTAATAATTAATATAATGATAAAATTAATTGGAGAGCTATTATTTTTTTAAACATTATATTTACGAATTTTAATTTACAAATGAATATAAAGATGTTGGCAAGATCATTAATAGTTTATATGCTAAATACTTAATATATGATATATGGTAAATTATATGTAATTATGATGAAATCTTATTAATATTAGATACTTTAATATAAATATTTTAAACTCATCTATTATTTTATAAATATATTAGATATAGTCAATGTATCTATGAATCAAATTGTTATTAAATTAATTTTTATTTATATTAAGGACCTTTACAATTAATTTCATCACCAGCAAATGTGAAAATAAGAACTGTTTGCAGTTCAACTTTTGCAGCTGCACATTCAAACAGGTACCAATCAATTTCTGATGAAGATAATGTAATAGAACATAAAGAAGAGGTATGTTTTTATAATTTTCTGATGTACTTCATAAACTTGTACTTGAAAAATAAATACTATATTAACTTCTTTTTTCATAATATATTTTTAGAGATATAAAAGATTCAATATAATTAAAATTTATTTACCTCAATTGACTCGAATAAGTTTATTTTACAGATTTACTACTTTCAGGATCAAAATAATTTTATTCCAGTATCATCTCAAAAATTTGTTGATCTTCAGTATCTTGATCTTGATCTAGGAACATTCGAAACTTTTAATATTTCAACTTTACCACTTGCACAATCAACACCTAGTTCAACAGTATATAAAACTGTAGATTTTCTCAAGACCGAGGCTTTCAATCGAACACGGCAGAGGGTTGAGGAAGAGAGAAAACAGTGTACAGATGGTTTAACTTAGTTGTTAATCTATTTTCTACTTGTTATGGAGAATAATAATTGACATCAAAAGAGATATTTTTAATCATTTGATACTTTTTTTAAAACTATGTTTAAAATAAAACATTTATATTTAAAAATATATCTTATCTTTTTATGTAAGATAAAATTATAATTTGTTACAATACCGACAAAGAAAACCATATAATTAAATTTGGTTTGCTAAAGAAATTCATTATTTTGATATTTTATAAAATTTAAAAATTCAATTTATGTACATTCTCAAATTATTTAATAAATTACATTTAATTTTTCGTTCTATTGAATTAAAAAAATCTTAAAAATACTATATGTAACTCAATTGATTTATAAGGTATAAGATCTGTTAATTAAAAATATTTATTGTGCATAAGTTCGAACGCGAAAATATTCAGAAATATCTGTATAAAAATTAATTTTTAATTGTATCAGTGAAAAATATGTATTTTTAAGAATTATTTTATGCATAATTTTTATGAAACTTTTTATCTAAGTATTACTTTATTATAATTGATTTCATTAAAAATATAACTGATCATAATTTATATAATTTAATTTTCAAACAAATACATATTATGTTAGTTATAACTATAAGATCATTTTATTTATAAAAATTAGTTTATAAGAATTTATAAGAACACAATATTTAATATAGTAGAAAATACATAAAAGTTATTTCATAGTATTATTATTTGTATTATCTTTGATAAATGTATTTATTTTATTTTCGTCTTATTATTTTAATGTTTTTGATCAATTTTCTATTTAACATATAAGATCAAAATTAATAAATGATAAAATATAAAATTATTGCAGTTAATAATGCTTTTAGATGTTATTTCCATATAGAAATATTTTATACACTATGAGGTAAATAAGTCTATTTTTTATTCAATGTTGTATTTAAAAAGAACAAAATATTAATTTTATTTATAACATTTTATTAAAATATTTATTAGCGCATTCGAAATTTACATACAGTGTAAAAAATTATTTGTGTTGGTCTTTATGATTAATTTAAAGTAATGAAGAGAGTTTTACACAACAGAATTATTTTTCTTTAAAAACACACATCTAATTTTATAAAATAATTTAAAATGGTGAACATATTTTGTTTTATCAATATGTACGTAGAGTTAGTAGATTTACTTAATAATAAACGTATTAAAATTAATAAAAATCATTATCTATATGGATAAATATCAAGCTTGTTTGTGTCTTAATAAGAATATACACAGTTTTGTTTGTTGCAATAGGTTCTAAATAATAAGATAATTTAATTAGCCAAATTCGAATGTGATATATCAATAATTTATAAATTTAATTTAATCAATTTATAAATTTATAGAAAATAATGATTAAACTCAGCTCTAATAAACTACATAAAAATATAAATATAAAATTTTATTTTATTTTTCTTAATGATTAAAGTCTTATGTTTTGGTTAAATTTTGATATTAAAAGATTAAAGGAAAATGTATTGAATATGAATATTATATATTTTTTATTTAAAATGCTAGTTACATAGTAGTAATTTGATGTATTCATAATGAGAAACAAATGGATAAAATAATTGCATTAACTATTTATTTCCATTGCACTTATTACCTCTCATTTTATGTAAATATTGTATAAAGTAATAAAACAAATAAATAATTTCAATATAAATATTCACTTTGTAATTTCTTGTTTTTTTTTATTATTATATTACTTTTGAAACCGAATTTTCAAAAAATTAATGAAAATAGTTGCATATTGTATAAAGGTAATAAATATTATAACAAAAAAGTTATTTTTGAAAATTTCTAATTTTAATTGTGTTCCTAAGATACTTTCTATTTTTGTTAAATTGTAGAAAATTAATGAATTTTTATATTTCACTAATTTCATAGGAAATTTTCCCTTTTATTTTGTTTCTACTATAAACCTGTTAACTTTTATCAGTAGCTTTGTTCTTTCAGATAATCAATAGCCATGACTTACAAGACCAATGAGTTTCGATTATAAAATTAATTTATTGTAAATATTTAACTCATAAAAGTTTTAAATTCGTAATTTCATGTTTTTGTTATAAAATGAAATGATTAAACTATTAATATTTATAAATAAATGTTGTAATATGTACTTATTAAAATAATAAGAGCTAGAAGTTTCTTATAAATTATTAAAAACTTATTTGATCAATTTACTGTTAGATAGAATGTTAGAAAAACAAATCTTATACTTTATATTTCTTATCTAAAAAAGAATTGTGAGAATAAAAAATTACATATTTACTTATTAAACCCTTCAGATAAAATTTAATCAGTTATATTTTTATTAAAGAATAGACTGAAATATTAAATTTTTAACTGAAGGTTCAATTTAATTTTGTTTTTATTAATGAGTGATGGAAACTATTGTAAATTAATTTTTTTAGTGTGAATAATATAAAATTTTATGTATTTATGTATTTTAATTAAAATACTAAAGTCCTTGGAAAATTTATATATTGTTTTATTGCATTAATTATTTTGTAACAAACAAAATATTTTCTTAAAAATATATTTAATACATATTTAGAAATAATATATTTCAAAACACCATTATAAACTAAATAAATTTAATAATAATAATTTATTTGTAGTCATAATGTATATCGGGAGATTAATGAAGTACAATCAAATAAGAAAGAAAAGTAAAATAATCAATTGAACTAAATTTAATTATAAAAGTATATTTTTAAACTAATATCGAAAGTATTTCTTTAGATTTTGATACTTTGCATCTAAAATCGAGTATATATTAATACGTGGTGTGTATTAGTCAACCATTTTTAGATCTCTCATTGATAGTAAATATGTATATTCATACTTATATAAGTAGTACATCAATACCTGCTTTTGTGCTGTGTAATTTATTATATTCTGATTCACATTTTTGTAAATGACATTTGGATGAATATTAAAATTGAAAAATAATTAAATTATATTATTAATACATATTGCATATAGATATTCCAATTAAGCTAAAAAGGGTATTATCGGCTTTTAACATTCCAATAGTATCTTTATTGTTTATGAAAGGTGGCGGTAAACGAGTCTGCTTCGTTTGATAATGTTCGATGTTTGAATAATTATTTGATCATGATGGTTCCTTTCTGATATTAGTCATATTTTTTTAGTGGCAATGGATTGTCTTCAGGGCTAAAATGTCATTTACAGATTTTGGAAACATGTGTAGCGCCAATCAGATTTGACGATACGATGTAATTATCCCGTTTATAATTAATTTGTAATTAATGATAACTTTAATTATATTTTCTAGTATATTTTAACGCAATTATGTACTTTAATTATTTGTCCATGTATTTTGTTGCGATTGTCAGTATACACGTGTGGAAAATCAAAATCTCATAATTTTAGATTTTCTTTGTCTACAACGGATTACGATATTAGTTAGGATATTAGTAAATATATATATATATATATATATATTTAAAGTTGGGTCAAAGATCATATGCAGAAAAGTTTTTTCAATATGAAGAAAGTACGTAAAAATTACAAATTAAAACGAGAGTCTTAAAATGATAACATAATACATTATGAATTATTTAGTATAGAAATACGAACATGGAAAACAGAGTAATAGTAATTACAAAGTGTTCGAGCAGTTTGGAATTGGAGCAGTTTTCAAGAATTTAAATTGGGAAAAGTACAAGTTCCCAGACGTTTTATATCGAGTCTGCCAAGAAAGTGGCGCAGTACGTTCTTTCAGTGCCTTTACTGCAGAGAACGTTGGTTCACCCCCCTACATCCAGGATAGGTGGCGCACTACACTCTCTCAGTGCCTTCATGCCAGAGAGCCTTCGTTCACCTCTCCAGTCCTCTTAATTACATCGTCAACGGCAGACTACATCTCAACAAATAGTCTACTATAACTCCATTGTACTAAGTTCTTCCATACTTAAAGGCACATCATTTATTGTTCTTGTGTGTGACTAACTTTTTAATACTCCCATACCCCCTTTGGGTATAGTTGATTTATGTGACAACTACCACAGAGATTTTGCATTCTCTCCCGTTTGAATGTAGTATACTCTCCCTGCTAGGGACTATTGATTACCATTACCATTCTCCCATGCTTACTTCATGAGCATGGTCGACTATTCATGCTGATCTTTACAACATCAGCATAGACCCAACATTCAACATCCACAGTAATTTCCATAGCATCAACGACATCGCCATCACTTCAAAGAAACACCATCACCACTGCAATAGAATAATTTCCTCTCTCTTACTTGAAGCAACCATAAACCGCAATATTATAATTATTAATAAACAAGAATAAACAATATCTTAACTCAAAACATATATTACACAGTACATTCCACCCTTCCACTTGTGCCATTTCCTTCAAATTGCTACGACGAGAGACTAATCCACTGAGCTATTGAATTGGCAGTTCGAGCCACAAAACAAACCCTGAAATTCGAATACAAAGGCTATTCTTTACACAAATACTACAATTTTAATGACTACAACGAAACATTAATCAAGAAATTATCACGTTGAATATCAATCATCACAAATCAAGAAAAATCACATAACATTAAAACGTGAATATTATTTCAGTTATTTATGAATATTGAAATAAATAAATTTATGCGATTATCGTACCTTAATGTAAAAAGGTTCACTAATGAACGAATCCAATCCAGTTAGCGTTTTCATTGTTTAATTCAATTTTTCTATGTGCTTTTTCAAATAAGTAGTATCAATGGTTTACTTGTTTACACTATTCTTACTACCTTATTGGGAAGAGTCACACCCTCTTTTAATTCAATGCTACTGTTCGGGATTGAAGCAATTTCCAAGACTGTTGGCTCTCGGCATCGCTAGTCTCCCTAGCTTTCAAGTTTCTGTAAACATTTGGGACAAGAATTTTCGTGTACTTGTTATGTTTTGGTTTTAAATGCCCTACAATGTTTTATATGGTCTTCGCATAGTACTATCGCTTGGAATTCTCAAAATTTCTTAAACATTGTTTTTTTTCTTAGAATTGTCGAACCTTCTAGAGTTTTCTTTCCGCGTCTCATGTAAGATTCCAGTGCAGCAAAAACGGTGCTTTGTTGCCAGCTAAGTAAGTTGTCGCGTGGATATTTAAGGGCAGCACACTATGCCTAGATGCTCATTATAATTTAGTCAGTCAAACAATTATTAGTCATTCCGCTATACAGCCAGTATATCACACAATGAAGCCATCCTAAGGAATACACGTTTAATATCAAATGTGCTATAAGCTACAAACAATCAAGAGTGCTAGACTGCATTACGAGAACTATACAGCTACAACAAGAATATTCTCAAGGTATTTCATTACATATTGAGGACACACGTCCGACACAGACGTGTGTGCATACACACACTTTGAGGCTACACTTTCATACTGAAGTGTGAGCATATTTCTGCTGAATCTTACAACATTGGCAGAGACCACGACATCGTCACCATCAAGGAGTAACCACATCATTGAGACAAGACAGAGTTTACACTCTTCTATGAACAGTGAATACTGCTTATTGTTAATGTAGCTGTTAATAAACCATATGTTGACGAAATCTGCACATACTACACATTTCTACAACCCTTCCACCTCACTTCCACCCAAGCACCCGCTAGGGCGGACGGAAAATTATTAAAGCTATCTGCAGTGATTTAGCTATGAGATATTGTTTTTGTTTATTTATAATAACGTTATAATTACTGATTGTGGCCTGGTAAAATTGTACACCAACATTATAATATTCATTTGTAATACCATATTTTTGGTGTCTTTTTGCGGGCTGATTTTTCTGGGATTACTTGAATTTTCTTGGTGCTTTCGGGAATTCTATCTCATTTACATTACTTCTTCTATTCAATTTTATAATATTTTTTAATTAGAACAGTCGTTTATTTTATGTAAAAGATTATTGTAACTTTAGCGAAATTGTGTCCTACAGGGAATAGTTTTTTATTCGATAGAATTTGGAATGCATTGTTATCTATTCAAATTACGCACCACAATATAGAAATTTACGTATATTTACTTATTTTGTAATTTTCGTTTAAAGTTTTATATGCCCATAATTGTAACTTAAGATATTAATATGTATATACAAGAAATATATATATTTCAATAGAAATATTCAAACAACAGTCTTACCTAATACAATTAATATACAAGAATAATTAGAAATTTAAATTTTCTTTATAATTTAAGCAAATTCAAGAATAATCTTATATTTTTATTTTACTATATTTTAATTAATATTGTATTAAAAAATAGATATAATATGAAAACTAAACTAATTTTCTGAAGCATGTAACGAGAAAGATATAGGATTAATTATAGGAAAACAAAAATAATTGTACAAAATATATCTGATGATCCGGCTCGTTTTACCAAGACCGGTTCGAAGGATACAAGATTGTTGCCGTTAACAACTCAGAGATCACGAGGTGTTATGTGGTAGCGATGTTTGGTCAAGTGGAAGGGATAGTGTAATAAATTCAATATTAATACATCTAGTTGTTACTCTATTTATTCCATTAATTTCTAGATACAGGGATGATTCTTGTTACTGTTATTAATTGTTGGGCATATCACGCTTTGCTGTAGCAAATGTATGTTTAACAGAAGTAATTGTAAGGTACTTTATTCTCTTGGCGTAGTACACTGATACTATTCCCTGGGAAGTAAGAGGTTGTAAAACTCATATCACTTCATCGAGACGGCCGCGTGTTGTATCTGTTATGAGCGCTGATTGGTGCGAAGATTGGCCTGGTAAGCACAGGACCCGAACTAGGAATGAGGTTAGGTGGACAAGATGAGCGTAAACGGCGCGAAGACTTGTCGACACATGCTATGTTTTTAATTGGCACTGGCTTCTCCTTGAGTACAGACAGTAATACTTAATTAAGATAATTTTGCGTGTATCTGGAGGTGGCCTCAATCCTTTATGTATGCTCGATGACCTGGCTTCTTAGGCTCCGAATCTTAGTTGATGGCTATGATGCCGAAAATAGTTGATACTACATACGAAGACTAATCTTGGATTCAGTTGAGGGAATTTTCCACTTCCTTCTTCAATGAAGACTTCAACTGGTACTTGTATTGTTGGTGTATATTAAATTTAATTAATATTAATATTATTAATATTAAATTAATAAAAAATAATATTATCGTGTATAAATTATTTTATTATTAGGAAATGCTATTTTCATGAAATAAGAATGTCTCATTAAGATCATTTTTACTATTGTTTTATTTGAAAGATATTTTTAAAACTGTTTACATGTTTATAGATTTAACAAAATTATTTTGATATTATTTATATTAATTTATAAATGGGTTTTTTGAAACAGCAATAATTATGAAAAAATAAAAATATTTGTATTAAAAAAACGTAAAGTTGCATAAAGTTAATTATACATAAATAAAATTTAAAATAATCAATTAATAATAATAATACAATTAAATATTTATACACGATAATATTAAAAATAAAATAATTAAATTTATTTTTAACATAAAAAAGAGAAAGGAAATGTAAATTACATTTCATTTATTATTTTTCCTTTAAGCTACCATGTTAGCTTATATATTATGCATTTGTTAATTACTCGTTTTTTTCCAACTCGTTTTCTATGCTATTTTTAAAAGTTCAGATATAATATAATGTAATGATGTTACATAAAAGGCTTGAATTGAAATGTATGTATGTGTGTGCTTTCAATAAAATTCGTAAAGACTGTAATATTGTTACTTGGTCTTCTCATTTAACTATTGAATAATATATTTGAGAAAAAATTATGGAGTAACGTTGTAAATATACATTAAAGTTATTTTATTAATGTATTAAAAAATTGCTAATTAACAATAATGATTATAAATATCATTATATTTAATAAAAAATTATATTTCTAATGTAATATTAATATTCGTTTTTAAAATAACATTTTTAATAAATTATATGTTACAAAAGTATTTTTTATTTAAATTTTTTATATAATTTTTATAATTTTTAATAATAAACATACTTTTACATTTATTTTATATACGATAAAATTATAAAATAATTTGTAAATTATCATAAAAACAAAAAATAAAAATTCGGCATTTATTAATTCATTAAAGATTGCGTTTGATAGTACTTATCTGAATATAAATTACTTTTTTGGATTCCAAAAATAAGTTTGGGTTGTCGTTATGTAAACATCATATATGCATTAGAGCTTATGCATGTATATACATTTATATTAAAGTGTATGATAAATGATATTATTTTGACTCCCGCAATTAACCAATAATATATTCATTTAAAATTATTTTTTATTCATAAAATTATACTATAAAGATATTTTTATTACAACAATGTATATAATAAATATAATCATCATTTTAATCATAATAATACGTTAACACAATGACATTTACCATCAGTTGATTATATTGATAATCACATTTATTACATTATTTATATTGTTTATAGAGCAATAATATCAATAATATCAATAGAAATATATTGATTTTTTAGTTCTTCTTTTTTTTCTCCTTTATATTTCTAGAAAAAATTGAGTAAATTATTATATTTAATATCTATTAAAGCGATTAATTTATTACTTTCTAAAAAATAATATGTATGAATAATCACAGAATTATATTTTATTTTATAAAATAAGTTAGAACATTATGCAATTAATTTTAGTCTAATAATGTAGTTAAAATGAAAAAGACCTGGATATTTCATATATCTTGTATAATATCTAGATAAGTTTACAATTGATTTCAAAATAATTTTTTGCTAAATAATTTTATAAATTTGCTGTAATCTCAATAATCATAATATACACTAATAAGAATTTATAAATTTAAAAATTAATATTAATTTTTTAAACAATAAACTTTAAATAATTTGATATATTTGACAGTTAGTTGTATAATTATGTAATTCATAATCTTTATTTCAAACAATAATTAATATTGTCAGAATATAATTTGATTAAATGATTTGATATATTTGATAGTTAGTTGTATAATTATGTAATTCATAAACTTTATTTCAAACAATAATTAATATTGTCAGAATATAATCTATTACGATATTAATGTGTATAGAACTGAAAATAATAGTTGAATTGATTTATTACGTAAACACTGGTTTAAAAAAGGAATAAAATCTTTCATTTAAAATATAACTATTTATAAATACTAGTATACGTACATGAGAAAAATTAGACTACATTTTGTTGAAATTCATAATTGCAAATTAACAACTGTTTTCTAATCTTATCAGTATAAAGCAAACAATATATCAAGTAAAATATGTTCGCAATAAACTAAAAAATTAGTTATCTTAAGTATTGCAAGAAGATTTTGTTCTACTTTTTTTTATTAAGATGTTTCTTATAACTAAATTTTTCAAACGGATCAAAAAGATTTACTCACAACTTTTGGCAGCATTTGCAGGTACACTTGATTTTTTTTTTGTTTATTATATAAATATAAAAAATAGGGTATTAAGTAGTTTCAGATTAGTTGATTAAGACTATATCATTACAAAATTTATATTAGTTATAAATTAATAATATAATATGATAATCAATACAACATAATCGACAAACAATTAAAAATTAGTATTAGTAAAAATTAGACAAATAATTAAAAATTATAAAGGATTTTATATATTTTATATATTTTTTTCATAATAATTAACTCAAATTAATTTATATATTTCTTGAACATTATTTTTATTTGCATGAAATCTATTTTAATACAAAACTCATTAAAATCTATGCTTATTTAAGGTATTTTAGAATTATCTTTATTGATAATATTGAATAAACATATACTAAATATATAATAAACATATTTATAAATTGACAATATTGACGATATTGGAATAAATTAAATAAATAATAAGAATTAGTTACTTGAACAATGCCAAATTTGTTAACCATAAAATTAGAAAAATTATACAATAGTAATATAAATTATTGTGATAAAATATATTTTGAACTTTTCAATAGGTTAATTTACTTTCTACATTTTTATATTTTATTTTTCTTATTATACGTAGTTTTTCATAGACAACTTGGTTATATTTCAGATTTTTTATTTCAGTAATGTTAGTACATTCCATACCCTTTAAAGTAATGGAAATAATATTAAACGAATGTTTTAAAGTAAGAATATAAATTTATAATTAAATTATAATAAAGTTGCATTATCTTCTTATGCATTCGAAAACTGTTCGTAAAAATAGTTGTCTCCAGTATTTATAGGGTAAAAGATTTTAAAAATGATATTTTTAAACAAAATATTACCTCCTTTCAATTGAATATCAATGAAATAAAAATATATTTAGAAAATTTGCAATCATTATACAATATAAAACTGAATTGATATAAAATGGATTCGAAAATACATTACATTTTTCTTATATATTTTTACATGAATGTTCACTAACATTGTAGAAAATACTTTGTTAAGCTACAGATAACTTTTTTAATATCTTTGGCATTTTTAAATATTTTGACGAAATCGAATAATAATAACGTACCTTATAATTATAATTTAAGTAGATTTGTTAGTGTAGATATGATCGCAATAAATCAAACATCTTTTTTAATATATCAATTTTTTCTCTCAGGTGATTCTGCATTATGTGATATATATTATATGTGCTTATTATCAAAAAGATTCGTAAAGAACATCTGAACAATAGTGTAGTTTTGAGTTTACGCTTATACGGTAATTATGATTGATGCTATATATTTTGAATAAAATTTCAGACAATGTAACTTTTCGAAGTATTTGAAATCACTTAATTATTGCAGTTTCGTTGCATACATGCATACCTATGGACGTATACATGCGCGCAACACACACACACACACACACACACACGTACGCACACATAAATATTTATAAATTTCAGTATGGATCATAATAGCAGAAATAGGAGTAATGTGCGGTTGGAGCTCACCCGATTTAGTTTTATTAACTACTCCAGAATCACCTTTACCATTGACGTTAATTGAAGGATCGTGGGTTGCATCTTTATTATATTTGGGAATTATTGTATTATTGTATTATAGTGTATTATTCTTATTATTTTACTCATTTTTCTACCTGATTCTCCCCACTATTTGGTACAATTTGGAAACATTGAAGAAGCGAGAAAATCTCTTAAATGGTATCGTAATGACGAGAAAGTCGAGAAGGAACTCGAAGAAATTATAAAATTTGTTAAATCTACTGCTACCACTAGCTTTCTAGAAACGTTAAGTAATTTTTTCATTTTATATGCTTTTATTGAATCTTCACCTTTTATACAAATATATATAAGTTACTATTTTTTAAACTATAAATAGTTAATTTTGTAACGTGGGTTGCTATCTATAATATAATTTATTTCATTAGCTGATTTCAGACTGAAACATGTAAGAAAAGCTACCATTCTCGTGATGATGTTATTCATATTTATGCAACTATCAGGTCTCAACAACGTTCTTTTTTATATGGAGATTATTCTTGTACGTAGCAAGTCCAAACTTATCAATACATCTTCTGCAGTTGCCTATATACTTGCTTGCTCTATTACAACCTGGATTGCATGTTTACGATTGTACAATAGATGCGGTAGACGCATTCTTTTGATATGGTCAAGTATTGGAGTAACAGTAGCCCTGACAGCACTAGAATCACATTTTATGATGATGGAAACTAAAATTGAATGGGCAGGATCAGAATGGTTACCAATAATATCACTTTTTGCGTTCATAATTTTTTTCGTACTTGGTCTTGCTTCAATTCCGAGCATAGTTGCAAGTGAGGTTTATGCAGTAAATGTTAAATCTGTGGCTACTTGCATAGCTAATTTAACAGCAGCTAGTGCAGCTTTTTTATCATCTAAATGTTTTCAACTATTTGTTGATTTATTCGGTGAAGCATATGTTTTTTATGGACATGCCATTATTACTTTTATGGCAGTACCTTAAGCACTTTTTATAAAGCCCAAAACCAAAGGAAAATCATTACAAGAGATACAAGATGATTTAATTAATAAGTCGCAAATTATATAATAAATCTAAATAAAATGTATATTCTTATATATTTAATATTAATAACCGAATATTTTAATGGCATTACATTCATTTGGAAGATAAACCTATTCGCGAACCATAAATTTCAAATAAAATGAAAAACTGACAGTAAGTTTGATACTAGAAGTTTGTTTTCTGTCAAAAGAATTTATTTTTAATATATAGTTTTATTAAATGATATTATTTGTATATCATGTCTAACTTAAATATAAATAATATAATATTTTTCAATATGTTGTGAATTTCTTAGAAATATTTTAATATTTTGTAAAAATAATTATTAACAAATTTAATGAAATAAAACAATTTCGTTCAAAAAATATTAATAAAAAATTAAACTATTATAGATATAAAAAAATTTTAAAAACATTTATTTTTCATCATCGTTTGCATATTAAATAGATTACTATTATAGCGATTCATACATTACAAAAATAAATATTATATTTATTGGTTTTGACATATTATTTGTAATAGTATTATATTACAATAGTTTTCTAAATTTCTTATTAATATTGTTCGAGAATGTAAGAAAACTCCCAGCACATTAAACATCTGGAAAATTCGAGATAAGAGTTCCGAAAAAAGCTAACTCAAGGAATAAACATTCAAACGCGCCTCGGATTAACTAAATCTAAACAATTGAGCAAAACTGCGAATATCTAATGAAAATAGAATTTATAAACACAGCTGGCGAGGACAAAGGTCCAAGTGTCCAGAAAAATCACGTCATAAAACTAATGCGACGAGACATTTGACACGGCCTCGCAACAAAGCATCTATCGACGACAAGTCATAAAACATCTGGCATACACAAGTCATAAAAATTAGTCTGAAAAACACAAGCCAGATGATACACTCAAAAACAATGCTAAACCTAACCTTCACAACACTGAACGATCGCAACGCGCATGATTACAAGAAATGCATGCGACAATGCTAGGATGCAGAGGAAAAAGCGCGGCATCTTGACCCCCCCATCATGGAGGGGAGTTGAGCAAGACCCGCTCTCATTGGAGCTTCCATCTTGGAAAGACTCACTGGTGGGAGACCCCACCACTCAAAAAGGCGCCGTGATTAGAATTACCATAAACTAAAGAAGAATTCTGATTGGATACACTAATAAGACTAAATCTCATTGGCGACGCCATGATCGATAAGACAGCTCTGATTGGCGACACAAAAAGAGAGGGAATTCTCACCGAACACCGCGTGGTCGAGAGAAGGCTTTAAAAAATGCAACACCGGCACGGCACAATCACTTATCTTATCTTATATAACAGAAAAAGAACAAGTCAAATAAACGCAGTCAAACAATCATGAAGTCCAAGCTAATTACGCAAGATTATTCTATTCAACACAAGTGCTAGATAGTCAAATCATACACTCGCAGCAGTGCGATACAAGTAAAAAAGGGAATCGAGAACTACGAATATCAGTTCGCACAGTATACACAATCAAACTGCAAGGAGCCACACGAGGCAACTCAAAGAACAAGACAAAACATAGCTATACACAACGTGCAGAACTACGAGGTACTGTTTCATTCCTAATTAATACATAACTATATCAAGCCATACGTGCTAATCTGCAGATACGTCAAGCTATCTGCAAAACACAAATACAAGCAATTCTAGCAATCGCCACGTGCTCATATACAAGGAAGCACGGGGGTTTACGATCTCGCTCTTCTGTGTGTATTATTCCATCTACACGTGTGTCACATATAGAGGACCAGCAAGGCATCAACTTCTTCCTGTGTATGCGACGTACGTGATAGCTCAGTAGCAATGAAACATAAAATCAAGAAAAGCAAAACGCAATTATAAAAATAAAACTAATTATAATTCAATAAGTGCAATCATATAAATAAAACAAAACTAAATAAAAAAACTACTCTTTATTGAATATATGTACTATCTTGTACACTAGCCTCTAATCCTCCTATCAATATCGGGAGCTCACACCTAATCTTAGTTTCTTCGCCCTCTTCGCCCGGTACTCTATTTTTAGACAAGTATATTAATTAGTGTATAATATACAAATAATATGCATATTAATAATTATAATACATAAATATTAAAAATGTTTATATGTAAAGACGATTATTAATAAAGTTAAATAAAAAATGTTGAAAGGAATTAATTCTTTTTACAAAAATAATATGATTGCGTTTATCTCATAGGTATAGTTGGCTTTTATTATATAATTCTATATAATTCTATATTTTTTCTTCAATACTTAGTATTACATAATAATTTTTTCAATCTTTATTCTCAGATCCATTTTTTATGAATGCTTTTATTTTTAAAATATATTTTTATTACAATATAAAAAAAGTTTAGAAATTAATTTACACGTGCATTATAACTTTTATTTGATATTGAGATATCAGAATAGTGTTACTATAATATTATTAAACTTTTTATAATTTTAAGATTTTGAAATTTGAAAAATAACATAATACATTTAATGATTATAAACTATTATTGTATTGTATTAAAAAATTAGTGTAAAACAATTTATTATATTTTTAAATATGAGTTCAACTGTATCAAATGTACCGTGTATAAATATATTTTTGTTACATGGTCTAATTTTAATAGTTAAAAAACCTATAATATATTTATTCAAATTATAAATTATAAATTTACTCGATATAGTAATTTTCATTATTTAATTATTTGATGCTACAATTATTATCTTTTTTGTCAAGTTTATAAAAAGAGAAATGAGTTACTATTATAATTATAATAATTAAATAAGTAAGTTTTCATGAATTTTCTGATATTCAAGCATTTTGACTATTCATTAATATATTCCTCGAAGTAGTTAATCCATTACGATACAGCAATTTGGACTGAAATGAATTATTCATTGGTCTATTAAAATTATGAGATTTAAAGTGTTTATAAGAAATTTTATAATATACGATAAATATAATTACAGTATTTCTAATTGAATGAATCAGTTAATTTCCAAAAATTATTGTTATTTTTCATTAATAGAAAAATAAAAGTTGATAACTCCAAAGAAAAAATCACTTGTATACGAAGTTAATTGACAAAATTTTTATATTAAATAATGAAATTTTTTTTTAAGTATTTAATTCTAATATATTCGAAATTAAAATAACTTTTTAAAGTTATTTTATATACAAAGAGCTGCATGTGCCAACTTATTAAAAAGATAACATTAAGAATTTACAATAACTTATCTATAAATATTATAGATCAATATAGTATTTTTATTCAATTTAAGTTTTTTAAATGGCATTTAAAGCCATAAAATTCTGTATTTGAATTATGATTTACTATCAATTAATTGAGATACTGATATTAATAATTGTGTACAAAATATTTATTGCTGTAAAAAGTATTCATAAGCTTAAAACGTTTGTATTGTTTATAAGGGAACCAAATATTTAAAGAGTGAAACATATGTCTAATTTTAATAATAAATTTTTTTTATGTATTTGCATTATTAATAAATTTTTTTGTCTATTTAATTATATATTTTTTTTAACAAAGTTTTTAAAAACTGTTTTTGAAAATTATAATCTAATTTCTAATGGACAATAATATACTCAAATTATTTAAACTTATTTGAACTTCTTATTTAAAATAATATTTTTGTGAAATTTTTTTCATTTGTATTAAAAAAAATGTTTTTAAATTTGTTAAAATATGGTATATCAAATATTTAAAATTTTAAAAATTACATATTTTGATGTTTAATAACTAAATATGTTCATTAAATATAAAAAGTAAAATTATATAAAAAATTTAACCTTAAGATTATGAGTTGACAATTACAAAAATTTATTTATCTTAGGAAAATTTTAAAAATTAATGAGTTATAATTTTGCAAAAATACAATTTTCGGGTTCATTTTCTAATTGCGTTGTTGTTATTAATTGCAAATAAATTTTGTTCGTATTGTAAATTTGTGTATATATTATTCTTGGATTCAATAATAATAATTTTATAATGATGCAAATACAAATGAAGAGTTTTGCATTAATCACAAAACTAAAGTTTATTGAGTTATATATTTTTAAAAACTCCGTTCATGTAGACCGTAGGTACGAAAAATTTTATGCGTATGGATTAATGTATAAACGATCGAACGAGATTAAGCAGTTATATTGAATCAATGAATAGAAAGAATGGTACAATAGTAAGATTTTTTTTAATTGAGATTGAATAGGCAATGTAGTGACTCTTCATTCTCATTAACTTTACAGCGTGATACATACTGATGACATTTATTGATATACTGCGACGGAAAATGAAAATTGCGAATATAACGATAAAATATTGAAAATGAATTGAGATGAGACTGCATGTGGAAATAAAGATATAATAATTGAATTTTCACTGAAATGACATAATACAATTATTTATTTTTAAATATTTAATTAATCAATTACGTCATTCAGATGTATAAATAAAATAAAAAAAAATAATTATGCTTTCTTTGGTAATGTATTATTGTAACATCGTATTTATTTCATTGGATTTATTTCTAAATTAGCAATTTTATATGTATACTGCGATTATGTATAATATCCATGTAGTTATTTTATTTTGTGAACTTGTTTATTTCTTATAGCATTTTCGCATTTCAGATGGAAACATAAATTAATATTATGTATTTTTTAATGAATTATTGTAAATTAGATAATTCAATTATAAATAATTTTAACATTAATAATTTAATTTTAATAAATTATAAATAATTATAACAATTATAATTTAATTATATACGATTAAAGAAAAGGTCATAAAATAAATAATTTTTTTTTCTCTTGCCAAATTGTTTTTCATTATTTTACATAATTTTGTTCAAATCAACAAATGACAATGTAGAAAATTATGAATTATTTTGTATAGATTGTAATGTCCCAACATAAAATTTGTACAATTCATAATAGAGTAACAAAATGATATTTCATTTAGAAAATCGAAATAAATATAACAAAATTTTAAATTAATCGATTAAAAAACTTTAAAGAAGTATTTAACATAAATTTCGAAAATGCAGTTTTCAGTTAAGAAAAAAGCATTGGAGCAAAAAACTGTTAATATAAAAATAAAAAGTTAATTTTTAACTTAAATAATATACTTATTTTAATTCTATTTAGAGTACCTTTGTTTTTTATAAACATTCTAAATATTCAATTTGTTGTTAATGAGAGCGTAATATTTTCACTCGGACCGTGTTTAGTACTCATCAACAAGATTTATTTAAATTTCTGGTGATATATACAGACATTCGAAAATATTTCTATACTTTTATTACATACGTTTAGAGTAAAATTTCAATGTTAAAATCTTCACATATATGTTTTATAGTTGCTAGATGCTACAATTACATTAAATAAAAATAAATAAATAAAATGCTTAAAAACTTTTTAGTAAATAACATAAAGATTTAATTAAAGCTAGTATTTATTCCAAACAATTCTAAAATTGTACACATAGCAAAAAATTTCTTACATTTTTTTTTTTTTACATTATTTATTATATTTTATATAAAAATACATAAATTACATTTACAAACATTTATTTACAATTTTCAAACTTTTTTGTATCAATAGATTATATTAAATTAAAATTATATGTATTTAAGATTGTCTAAAAAAAGAGTACCGGGCGAGGAGGGCCAAATATCTAAAGTTAGGTGTAAACTCCCAGATGGTGGAAGGGAGGATTGCGGGCAAGTGGACAGGATAGTGCATGTATTCAATAATAAATAGATTTGGTATTTGTTTTAGTTTATTGAGATAATTGCATTAGTTGTATTATAATGATTTTTAGTTTATGCTTGAATGCCTTCGTTTTTTGAGTTTTGTATTGCTATTGCCACAGAGCGGTAATGTTTGTTGCATGTACAGGTAGAAGGGCGTAACCTTCTGGTCCTCTATATGTAATGCACGTGCTGGTTGAGTTATACACGTAGAAGAACAAGACCGTAAACCCTTGCGCTTCCTTGTGTAGTGGCACATGGCAGTAGCTTGAGTTTGCCTTGTTATTGTCTTATTGCTTACCTTGTAGGCTCTGCAGGTGTGCTCTTGGTGGCAGTTCATTTTAGTCTGCAGATATTGCCGCGTACGACGCCTCGTAAGTCTATCTTGTGGGAACTAAACTTGCCCCTTATGCGTCTGCAGATTGTATGCGTTTCGTCGCTCTACAGTTCTTTGTCTTGTGAGGCATAATGTGTATAATTATCATTATTAAGGAATGGAACTTTGGAGTTCTGAGTTCTGTGCTCTTGATGACAACTCGTGATGTCTTCAGACTTTGTCTCGTGCGGCAGCTTGTAGTTTCTGTTTTGTGTTTTGCTGGTTATACCTCGTATTGTTTGCTGAATTTTCCTCAGGCGGCTCCTTATAGGTTATGATTATGTTGTGCTCTGTGCACCACTGATTTCTTGATTTGATTTGCACTTGTTATTAGTTATATATAACTAGCCTTTGCCTCTTAATTCTTGGCCTTTACTATGTATGTCCACATCCTTGTTCTTTGGCGTTCCTTTTGAGAAGAAGCTCTTGCACCTTGTCGGCGTCTTTCTTAAAAGCATTCTCGGCCACCGTGTGGTCTTTACGAATTGCCTCCTTCTTTGCGTTTCCAATCAGAGCGCCTATTTCTTGCCGTCTCCAATCGAATTGATTCTTTCATAATTGACGGAACCAATCAGAGCGCTTCATACTGCCTTGTTCATAATGACTTGTTGGTCACAACTTTATATGACACGTTTTTTCCAGATAACTGATCAAGTATATCCATTAACATAAATATTATGTTAATAATATATATTATAAATATATATTAATAATTTCTTTGGGTGTCACGAAATCATAAAACTTTACTTTCTTAATATACTACAAAATGCCTTAAAATTTTTTTATATCGGTTTCTTTTTCATTTATTGTGTTTCAGTGTCTATTAATATGCGTTTAAATATGACATACTGTTTATTTATTAATACATTTGAATTCTCTTATTATAGTTATAAAAAAAATTTCATTCAATAAACTTTACAGTTTGGAATTATCAACAATTTTTTTTATTTATTATATTATATTACTTTTGAATTTTTACTTACAAGTTTAGATCATGCAGAAATGTGTAAATCTGTATACAAACCACTGATATTCAGAAGTGTTTTATGAATTTGAAGAAAAATATTTCAATGAAACATACTTTAATAAATGTAATTTATAGGGTCAGCTTGTAAATTAGTCTGTAATTGTACTATCCTAAATTTAAAAAATTGAACAATTAAATATGCAAATATTTGAACGTAATATTTCAAAATAATGGTTTAATTCTTGAAATTTCTATTTACGTATTTAAATAGTAGATATACAAGTATAAAGATAAAATACGAGTATAAATAAAATTTGTTGTAATTCTTATATCTTCCTATTTTTCTTTCAATATATATATATATATATATATATTTATATATTTATGTATATAATTAAATTTAAGGCGAAACATATAAAGATATTTTACTCGTGTTTACTTTTTTCTAAACAATATTGTTTGTTTTATTTGTTATCGACCTTATATGTTTACAAAAATAATTAAGTTAGTCTTACATATATAAAAAGACATATCGGTTTAGAAATTTCATTATCTTAATTTTATTTCTTTTGATATTTAATAATGGTAATTTTATAGATTATTGCATATATATGTATCAGAAAAATTAATTGGTTTGGAGAATATTAATTACTGATTGAATTTATATTCATTATTGTATTATAGATATGAAATAGCTGTAAAAAAATATTGTTATTTTTTTTTTAAATATTATAATTACATAATTTAATACAAAATTATATTTTCATATTAATTGGAATAGTATTAATATATCGAATAATTAATAATATTTTATTAGTCACCAGGGGAAATTAAAAAAATTATAATATAATTAAAAATGGTTCATGTTACATGTACTATTTATCGCAAACAAATACGTTTTTGAAAAATAAATTATGCTTAACAGATATCGAATTCTATTCTAATGGAAATAAATAATTCGAATAAATTTATTAGATTAAATAATTAATTAATTTTTTGGAAGTTGAAGAATTTATCAATGTATTATTTAAATAAAAGTAAACAATTTTTTAAGATAATTTTTGTAATATAATTTTAGTTTATTAAATTTGATTTGATTTAAGAAATTTGTAAGTTTAATTGTTTTAAAATATAATAAAATATTAATTTAAATAAGTATTTTATTATTATACATTAGGAAATGAAAAAATATATGATGACAGCATATTAAAATCTTGTCATATTTTTTGTCTAATTGTTGAAATTATTTCACACGTAAATACACAAGTTCCATAGATTCGACATGTTCACAAAATGAAATAAAACGAATGTCATCACATTTTGTATTTATAGATGTAGAATCAACTAAAATGTTAATATGGGTCCTTCTCGGTGATCTAGTATATCTGAAAAATCACAAATATTAAAATATATTAAAAAAATATTTGTCTTTATACTATTGATAGGTGAAACTATTATAAAATAAAGCTTTCTATGAGTATCTTTATGGGTCAAAATGATATTTAATGATTTAACATATATATTAGTTGGTCTCAATATTATTGATCTTTTTTTATTTTTAAATTCTTTAAAACAATAAATACCCAGCATGATTGCTACAGACCTCTGTTAAAAAATAAATTCGTTAAAAGATGTCAATAGAGAGCTTATATAATATAAGTATATTTATAATTTTTAATTAAACTAATAATTAATTTTTAATTAATTAACAAAGCATTTTCGTATACTTTCATTTTCATAAAGAAATAGAAAACAAATATCTTAGAAATTAATTATTTGATAAATTTAAAAATCAATGTTGACAAATATTGATCTACATACTATTAACTTAATATTGTACTATTAGACTAATTTACTTACTATTTATGTAAAAAGACAATAAAAAAAAATTATAAATAATTAGTTTAAAATAATCTTTACTTTATTATTAAATGATATTGAATACTTTGGATAAAATATTGATTCTTTACATAAAACTACATTAACTTAAAAGTTTTACTTTGAATTTATAAATGATTACCAATACATATTCAGTTAATCAATATTAACAATTTTTCTATAGAATTTCTGTTAAAATATTTTCAACTTTTTATTATTTTACATATTATTAAGTTTCTGCTTTTAAACTCAACTGAAAATAACACATTATAAGAGTTATCGCATATTTTTAATTTAAAATTGTGATATATGCACCTTTAGCTATGCTCCACCATGGTAACGTAATGTAGGTAAGGAACGCATTAAGGGGGACGGATTGGGTTCTTTTTGTTTCTTTCCAAAAGTGAAATGTTTGAGTGAACCCCCGCATTGTCCACAGTGGATTATATGCTCCATCGTCCAATTCTAATAACAGATTATTAACTTATTAGATATAACAGAGATATTTAAATTGTGTAACCTTTTTTAATTTCTAGAAAAAAACGTTAAAAATTAATAATAAAAGATAATAAATTTTAAACATTAAAATTTATTAATAAAATATAAGAAATTATAGTTAAATAATAGAATATAATATCATAGGTTGTGGTTGATTTCAAGTTTACATAACAACACAAAATTAATTAATTTTTAGTTAATTTATTTAATTTAGTTAATTAATTAATTTTTTAGTTGTTAACAATTTTCTCTGTTAATTAATTAATATTTTATTAAGTGTCTTATTATGCTGTATATTATATTAAATTACTTTCATAATTATTTCGTTCTATTTCTAATTTTTTTTCTGGTATTTAATCATTAAGTAATTAATAAAAATGTTACAAAGCGGAATAAGGTATATGTTTACTTTTTATTCCGATAGAATTTGATGTAAAGTCAGTATATATTTTTGAAAAATTACCTTTTGATGCATCTTTAAGTTGAAGAAAATGTACACAATAATTTAAATAATTGTAAAGATATAGAAATCTCAAATAATTTTACTATTAAAGTAAGATCCGTTGTTATTGAAATAAGATTATTATATTTTATACTTCATAAAAATGGATGAAAATATCTGTAAAGTTTAGTAGATTGTTGTTACAATATTTGAACGTTTTAGGTAGAGTAAATATTTTAAATGTGAAAAATATAATGTTACCATACATTATAATCTTTAATATAGTATTATTGTTATTATATAAAAATATTATTGTTTGGAGTTTTGAAAAATCATTTTTTTTTAGATATTGTACATTCGTAGAGAATTTAAAATCGATAAAAATAAATATTTAAAAAATCAATTTCTAATAATTAAAATAACTTAAAATGATTACCATTAGAAGTATAAAACAGAAGTATAATACAATAGTATTAAAAATTCACGATTACATTTTGAATAAAAATAATAACATATGTTAGTAATCTAGTGATATCAACAAGAATGAGAACATTTTCTGGTTTATTTTTCCATAATTAGATTTCATCCACATATTTATAGAAATATTTCCTTTTCTTTATATTATCACTCTTTCAATCTAGCAGATATATGAGATAAATTAATTAATTGTTGTGTAGTGTTTTTGTAAAATATATTTAGATTTTTGTAGTTTATTTTTATAACTCAAGCAAATGAATTTCGAATAGATTCTTCAAGTGGAATTCATATTTTAAATTTCACGAATTACAATACAATTCATCATATCAATCAAAATAATAAAAAGTGACTAAATTGAACGAAAATATTTAAAAATAAGTATCGAATGGAACATTATTTTCTTGTTTGCAAATATAAATCATTCACAGTATGTAATTAACATATAATTTTACTCATTATAATGAATGTTATAACTATATAATGTATTTTATATATAATTACAATTATTTTCAAGTTATGTTACATATATTTAACATAAATAAGTATTTATGGTAAAGTGTAATTTTCTCATCTACAAATAGAATATTTAATGTATTTAAAATATTATTATATAAAATCTAAAAAAATTTAATAAAAAAAATTTATGTAATGTAAATAAATCTAAAATTTAATTAGGGAATAACATAAGTAGACTACCAACATATCTATATTTTTCGATAGTGGGAGCGTATATCATAATATTATGCTTATTATATTTATAAATAAGAAATACAAATATATAAGCATCAATTAATAAGTTTTAAAATGGATTAAAATATATTTAAAATGGAGACATAGTAATATTACAAATAAATCAAAATGCAATAATTCATTCGTTTATAAAATTACTTTTAAAAAATTACGGTAATTAATAAATAATAATTTAATATATTAAAATATAATTACGATTCTAAATCTTCTATTTTATCCTTTATTATAATGTCGTAAATTATTGAATTACAATACGTAAAATAGACTAAAGAATAGTTATAATATTTATATATAATTATAAAATATCAGTAATAATTACATAAAAGAAACTTGAATTCCACAATGGAAAAAGAATCCATTCGAATTTTGAAGTATCCACAGAAAAAAGTAGTAACAGTAACTGATAATTTTGGTCGAAAGGACGTTTACCCTGAGAGCCGGGACATCGAGGGAGTTCACACCAATAGTAGATCGCGGTGCCGTCCGGAGTGACGCGATGTGGAGGCAATAGATTGCCCGTAAAATAACCCGAATAGGCCTTTCTTCTACGTCTTCTTGGCAGGGTGGCACTTCGTTCTGGACATTGAATTTTTGTAATTTTGTCATTTACGTTATTGTCATTCGAGTTGGTATCCATTTCAACATAATTCTCATTCTCATTCCTTTCAACACATAGGATATTTTCTTCACTGCTATTATCGTAATTCATTAAATAAGTTGTGGTTGATTTTTTATTCACAAGGCTACACGCTCGGATGCGTTGACGTTCAATTAATCGAGTACTTCGAAGATGACTAAGGTGATGTAGATGCGACGGTAGTTTTTTATTCTCGCACAATATAAATGGTAATTCCTCAGTACCATGAACAGTTATGGCTTCTGAATTAAATTTCTGGTGTACAATATCATCAGTAAGTGAAGAACTTTGGAGCAATAGAATTTCACTACCTACTTCAATTGCTTGTTGATGTTGCTCTTGATGTTGTTGCTTCTCATCCACAGACTCACAGTTCATATAACCTACGATGGATAGTTGTCAAGAATTAACGCAGACACGCAAATTATAATTATTTTATTTTTCGTGTCTGAAGATCTTCGATTTTTCAAAACATTTAAATTAATCCAAGGCTAAATTAAAAAAAAAATTTAAGGGCTCTACTCATATTTTAATTAATGTAACCATTGTAGTTATTTAAATGCATGAAATTTATATAAGTTTATTTCAATCAATAAGGTGATATTATAAATATTGTGTAATAATGGTAAATATGAAATAAATTATAAATTAATACAGAAAAGATAAAATAATATCTAAGTATTCTACAATAAAATTGTACTGATTTTAATTAAATATATTGACAATTAAAATATATAAAAATATGTTTTTATAGAGACTACTTAAATAAATAAAAAAGGAAACCAGTTAATAACTTGAATACATTAAAGTAAATAATGTTTTAATTATTAAAAATTATTTTTATTTTCAGATTATTTAAAAAATAATTTAATTATTGTACATGTTGCGATTAATATATTTACTAGTACTTTAAAGCAATATAATATCTTAAAACATTATGAAGAAATTGTCCGATGTATTTATATATGTTTAATAAAAATGTCTTTATTATGTCAAAAACATATTTAATTTTATTAATTCTTATTATTATTCTTATTATTCTTTATTAATTCTTTAATACCATTTAATTCAATAATGTTTATATTTAATATAGAATATTATTTTTAAAACGATTTACTTATATTTATGATTAAGAAAATTATCATTTCAATAGCCAATAAAATTTTCAACCAATAAAATTGAAAGAAAAATGGCAATTTTATTGCCATGATTTCAATTAGGATAATATTAATGAAAAAAATAAACTCTATATGATGCACCTCATGAAATAAAAAATTTAGAAGTGTGAAATTAAATTTTTTATGAATTTATTATGTCCATGAATTATTTCCACCCAATAAACTATAAAATAAAAGAGAAAATAACTGAAAATATAAATGTTAAAAAATATAATAATGGGAATCTAAATTAGGAATTAGCATACACCAGCCGAGATAGTTATTAAGAATACTAGAAATGTATCCCTGTTTTGTTGCAATAAGACTTTTATGTAAATCTGTATCCGTGTTCTGCTGACAGCTCATTGTTTACGCATATAACTATTATATTTCTTTGTCATTCTTTGGATGTGTATTCACCGCGGGGAATTCTGAGATCATAGGTTTGTTCCCTGAACGTTCTGATTATGACCCCATAGTTTGGTAGTAGGGGTTAGCCTGTGTCAACGTGTGTCTGGACCTGTGTCCGGAGCTCTTGAGTGTCGAGACCGCGGATGACTGGGTAAGCCTATGCCCTATCCGCGCTTTTATGGGTACTTTCTGACCTACATCATCCTGATTTTCGTCTAATAATAATTACGCAAAATATTAAAAATAAAAAAAAAATAAATAAAAAAAATAAAGAAACGTTCACAAACATGAGTCCACCAGCTATTTTTTTTTTAAATATATTATCTCTTATAGTTTATTATTTTAAGTAGAAATAAAGTTTGTATCGACCGTATAAAATTTCAATATAAATATGTAGATTACTAAGTAGATTATATGTACCAGCTAATTAAATATGGTGGAAAGTGTTAACTTTGCGTAATCAAATCTATCATAATTCCTACAGATCAATAAATTTTATTTTTTGAGGTTTAATGCTTCTACAGTATTTGTGAATGTATTATATGGTTATACAATTAAATTGTAATAACATTAATGCATGATTCAAATATTTATATTTTTGGTGTACATAAATACATAAGTAAATTCAGTATTAATATAATAAATTTATTATATATATTATTGTTATAGTATGTTTATAAATTCAATATTAAATAATTAAGTAATATCAGTAAGAGAAAAACAATCCTTATTTTATGTAAGGCAATTTAGTAAAATTTATTCAATTGAATTCTACTGCTTACATAAAATGCAAGGACTATAATAATATTTTGTAGTCCAAATATTCTTCATAACTATTTAAATAATTATTTATTAATAAAAAATTATATTAATATTCCTGAGTTGTTTGTTGATAATCAAATGAAATAAATATAATAATAAATTTTCCATGCTATATATTAACTACTTACTTTTGTTTAATTAAATAAATTAATTAAAACTCTGTTTAAAATAAAACGATATAAAAGAAAAAATTCTAAATTGTATATAATGTAATTATAAAATGAATGTTTATTAAATGTAGTAAGTTAAACTCCAATTTATTACATTAAAAAACTAAAGATTATATATTTCGTAATAAATTTTATAAAATAAATTTCCTTTTGAAATAACTTACAAAATGATAAACAAAAAATTTACTAAGAACTTTATTAAGAGACAATATATTTATAGGTTTGTTTTCTGGTGTAACAATTTTAATTTATTTCTAACAAAGTTTTCATACAGTTTTGATTTATTAATTTATATAATTGTTTGGTATTTTTATATACCTTCAAATCGATATTATAAAAATGAACAAATTGGTATGGTTTATATTGCATTAATTTTTTATTAGGTTAATTTGATTAGCATGTATATGTTCCAAACAATTTCAACATTTGGTGAGAATTAACCTACCTTTCTTATATAATTACCCACAATAAATATTTATTATAATGTACAAATATTTTATCTTGCATCTACATATTTTTTGTTTTGTTAAAATTATATTAATAAACCGTTTATCATATTTTTAGTTTAATTAACAAAACTTTTAACAATCTTTTTTAATTAATATAAATAAATTAATTTAATTTATTTATTTTATTTATAATAATGGATATAATGATAAAATAACTAATTTCAAATTCATATAATATTAATAGATTGAATTAAATTGTTTATAACAATCAAAAGACTAATTAAAAATATCTAAGGCATCTTAAATATTAAGATAAAAAATCTTAAGATCAGGTAGAATAGCTTGATAGAAGAGAATAATCTGATTTATGAAATAATATAAGTGTTACAAATTATTTTGGTAAAATTTCTGTAGTAATTCATATATTTAAATTAGGTTTTAAAATATTTGATTTCAATTATATTTTAAAATATTTATTCAATAAAAAATAATTAAATTAGAAAGTTATTGAATAGTTATTAATATGATAACATAGTATTATGAACATGTATAAAAAAAATATCTTCGAAAATCAGTGATTATTTATAAATTCGATTACTCTAAAAATGTTTCATAAGAATATAATGAAAATTATTTTTATAATCCTATATTTTTTGTTTTAATTTTACAATAAATTTTATCAATATTTTTTAATTTTAATTTTATACTAAATTTTATCAGTATTTTTTTAATTGTAATTTTGTACTAAATTTTATTTTAAATTATTGTGTAAATCATAACATGCAATCGAAAATGATTATTACCTTATTATTATTATATATATATATATATTATTTATATACTATACCTTATTATTACTATTTATTTTTATAGTGTAACTGTATACTGGTTATTTAATTTTCTTATTTAATTAATTATATCGTAATATTTAGTATAAAATTAGTTATAGTTTAAAGATTCAAAAAAATTTTAATAATAGGATTTTATTATTCACTTTAATATATATTTACAAAATAAATTTGTAGAATCGCCGATTATAAAATTATTGTTTAAGAAAAAGTCATTGTGTACATATTACAATCATATATAATTACTTAGTTTCAAAATATAATATCATTTAGTTATTAATATTCATTGTACACATTTAAGCTTAAATAAAAATAAAGATGCCATTATATATTGTTAATTGAATGATTTTTTCATTTAATTTCAAATAATGTAAATATATAATTAAGTTATATATAAATTTAGATCTGTAAAATACTTTGCTTCTTTGTCCAGCATCCAATTAGTACCAAGATCATTTGTAGCAAACAAATCTTTTCATAAGTTATAAAAAATACATAAATAAGTATTACCGTCCCGTACGTCTCCAGCTTCTATTTCGCTGAATCCGTTATCTATGGAGTCCAAACCCTCGTTTTCTGATCTGGCTTTTGTTCTATTTACATCAGGTTTTGTGTAGCAACCACCTCGCGTATAATTATTGAGATTGGCACTAGGATCAGACAATCTGCGTTGATGGCGATAAATGAATAGTTCATCGGTATCGTCCCAATCGGCATCTCGTAATATGTCTGTAGCGCAATAACCTGGTTCCGAAGTTGGTGTCTCAACTCCTGAACCAGTCGGTTTTGTTACTGCCATTTCTGCATGACCTTTACCTAAAAAAATAGAAATTTCTCTACTATTGGTTCGAGATATGATTTTATTCTTCTGCATGAATGTATAAAATAAAACTTTATTTACATCTATGACATATATGATAAATTGAAAATTTCCATTTGAACATTAAGAAATGATTGGATTTTGAATATCAGTAAAATATTTTGAATGATGTAGCGCAATTATAGAATATTATCAATTAAAATTTTAAACTTTACAAAATTAAAACATTGAAAAACATAGAAATTTAATTTTTCTAAAAAAATATTTTTTCAGAAATATTAAAATTTACCTTGAGGTCCTTTCATTCGTACAAATTCGACTCTTTGAGATGTGAATCCCGAAAAAAGTCCGAAAGTCATCCGTTGCGCCATTTTTGCACTGAGACTTGACTGTGAATATATGTGGATAATTAATTTAGTAATATGTATATTATACAAATTAAAAATTACCCTTGTATCATAAACTTTCTTCAATGCATCGTATCTAATAGATCCAAGAAAAATTACTCCTTGAACTATTCCTTCTCTATCAGAGGCTACTAATTCAACACAGACCATTTCGCCGTCTCTGACTAAAATATCACAGAAAACCTCGTCGAAATTATCTACCATAAAGCAGATATGAGGATATGTCATCTCTTCAAGATCACCTTTCGCGTCCATCCGTCTACGACTTGGACTTGCATATACTTTTTGAGAATGTCTTTTTAATACCTGCAATTTTATATTATATTTCAATTAAAACGCAAATTTATCAAAGTATCATGTAAATAAAGTATAATTGTATTTAAAGCCATTTATAAATTTAAATCGGTTGTTAGAAAGTTATATTTATTATCTCATTCGCGTAAAATAATTTTTAAAACATTGATTATATTAAATTTAAAAAGTAAACAATAGAAGTGATGAATTTAACATATTTTTTAATTAAAAAGTTAAACTTCTAACTAAACTTCTATTATTCTAATAATTCTAGAATATGGATTTTCCACAATTTTTATAAATAAAAGAAAGTAATATTAATGGGTAATATTAGAGAAATCGGATTTTTATATTTTTTAAAAATAATTACATTTTTTTTTGAGAAAATATTCAAGCAATAAATGAAAGAATATGTTTTAATATATATTTATATTTTTTTGAAAAATATATTAAAGAATTTCTTTACTTCAATTTTTATATTTACTTTATTAAAAAATATTAATTATTTAATAAAAATTAAAAAAAAAATTATTATATATACATTTTTATATGAAATAATTCTAGTTTTAATTTTTTCTGACTGTTTCCAAGACGTATTTGCTCCATAATTTATAAAAAATAAATGGTATAATATATTGAGAAGAATATTTTAAAAGCTACATAAGAGAGCAAAATTGTAATACTTGTAATTCCTTAGGACTTGTTCTAGTACAGATGGCGAGTGTAAGTGTGTAATCGAATTGGTGCACAACTAGATTTAAATAAACTGTTTCTTCCCAATCAATATCCGGATCTCCAATTGGTAGCTTTTTACTATCTTTACGAAAAACATCCACTTCGGTCTCAAATTTTGGCAAATATTTTGATGATTTCTTAATATGTTTTTTACGGACAAAAAATAGAAGGTCATCGCCGTCTACTATGTGTTCTGTTTGAAACAAGAAATGGCGTACAAACAAGTCTGTCCAGTAAGTCATTCCTTGCAACATAACAAATCCTGAATCTGTACCAATATTTATATTTAAAATTGTTTTACTTAATTTTTAATTAAACGTGAAATTCAGATATTTTTATTACATCAAAAATTATCATACGGGACAAAAATATATGCAATTAATTAACATAAGGGATTCTAATTTTTCGGTAAAAATTAGTTTATATTAATGAATATAATTATTTATGAAGTTTTTTAATAAAACTTTTATATTTTCTTTATTAAAATTCCTTCTTATAATATGATAAATGAAATGCATAAGATCGTACGTACAATACTTAAACATTTTTTAAAGACTGTATGTATAAATGATTTTCTAATTTATTTTTTACATTATTTTAATTATTTAAAAAATCTTAAAATAGTCTAAAAAATATTATTGTAAAATCAATTTTTAAAATACTTCACAAAATTATTTTTATAGCATCAAATATTAGATTTTAAATTAAAAAATTTGTTAAGCATGATTCGACTTGTTATAAGCATGATAACTTGTCTATAAATATTTTCAGATTACTGATTATATATGCTGCTTATTAATATTATATTAATAATTAAAATAGTAGATAAGATATTATTATTGCAAAATAGTTATGAAATTGTTAATTATATTATGAAGAGAATGAGGAATAAGTTCTTGAAAATTCATTAGCTTTTTTAACGTGAACAATTTTTTTGGTAATATTGATTATCCTTGTTTATATTTTATTATAGTTAATAATCTGTTTTTTGATAAATAATGATTTGATATTAACGATTAGTAAAATTGAATATTATTTTAATATAAAAAAATTAATAGCCATAAGTTTTCTATGAGTTATAAAAATTTATTTAAAAAAATTATATTATAGAATAAATTATAGATTTTTTAAATAATATTTTAACAATACTTAAAACTTTTATACATAGTTGTGATATTTCCAATTTTTCTTTAAAAATTTTAAGAACCATATGATTCGCTATTAACTTTTTAATATAATAAATTTTTAGAAAAAATAATTTTTTAACAATAAATATTAAATATCATTAATATTTTTTTATGTATATCAACTATAATATTTGGTTCGAATTTATACAAAGTCTATGTTGATAGGACACGAATTATTGTTTAAAATATTAATTTTTAATGGAGAATTTAATATTGGTTTTGGATTTATTGGCGCAAACTTTCCAAGTATTCTAACGAGTAAATGAATTAATTACATATGTTTTTTTATTTTCTTTAATATTCAATATTCATAAATATTCCTCAATTTCATAAGTATATATATAAACGTGTATATATGTTTAACATACCGTCTTTGAGTATCTGTCGCATTTCTTTTGTTCTCTGAAAGTTGATTTCATCAAGAAGTTGTTCGAGCATTGTTAACGGTCTGTGAAAGCTAGATGAGTCACTTTCTAAGCTCGCCATTGACTATAAAGTGTTTTTATGCCCCTAAAATACTATTGTATTTACACATATGAAGTCGTGCAATAGCCTTTTTGCATATATAAGTACGCATATCACTTATTAATTCCCACCATTAAAATTTTTGATGAATTAGGACTATCGCGCATCTTATAAATTTACGTGACGGCATTAAAATTCCTATATCAGTACATTAATATTTAAGGAACTATAGCATCTGATCTTATGAAATAGAAAATTTGATTAGTATTTAACGCCAATAGAAGAGCATAAGTCAAATATATTAGTAACTCGTGACGGATGAAGCATGAATGTGAATACAAAAAACATCGATAAAAGGGTTAGAAATTAGGTTATGTCGATATTTTTGCGCCTGCGTGCTATAGTTGGTTGAAGCAGCACAATGATTACCATCTAATCAATTGTTTTAAGTATTTAGTCATTATTTCTATAAAGTTTGTTAGATTTTTAGTAAATGTTTATGTTTTAATAGTTGTGAACTTAATAAGGAAATGCCAGAATTATAAAAATTTATTGAAACTGATTTAACTAATTAAAATTATGTTCTACTTTATCAATTAATGCGAAAATTTTTAATACTACATTCTCAAGTTCATAAATTATTAACAAGTATTTTTCATATTAACTATTGATTTCTATAATGCGAATATTTTCAATGTTGATTTATCATCTACATATATTAAACATATTTAAAAATATTCTAATATGAACTTTATCACGGCATAAAAATTTATTAATTCCGAACGAGAGAGAGAGAGCGAGAGGGAAATATTTCCTAATTAAACTCATCTTAATTTCATTCTTAATTTACCACATGTTGTGATTATTTTTTTTTTATTTTTTCGTCATCAATACTGAAAAGAAAAAGAAAAATTTCACAATTTATTGTTTTATTTTTTTAAATTGTTTACATTATTGTTACTATATATAATAATTTAAGCTTACTATTTACTATCTTATAATAACAAATAATATAGTATTTTTTAGTATATGTTATAATAATATTAGAAACAAAATTTCAATTAACTCTATTACTAATTTCAAACATTAAGAGACATACAAAATTTGTAAATAGTAATTTATAATTTTGTTAGGTATTTCTTTTTATTTTAATACTAAAGTAATTTTGCATAAATTATTAATGAAATTGGTGATATTAGATTTATATTATTTTATAACTTTTAATTACATCAATTAATTTATATAGAAATTGAAGATGAATTAGAAAAAGTATTAAAAAATTAGTAAATTTCGAACATTGTAAAAACTAAGATGCTTGATAGACTTTCCCATAGATCGATTATGATTTTTTGATTCCGATAATTCGAGACTAAAATAAAATGTAATATTATTCTAAAAATAAATTTTAGTGTTTATATTTTATAAGTATTATTTAACTGTTTAGTTGGTCTGTGTAGTTTATTATAAAAATCTCATAGAATGAGATACAAAATAACCCAACGTTGCGTCTACTTTTTTGTTATTGTTATATATGTATCATGAAAGTTTTATTTAAGCCTACGAAAAACGAATTTTAAATATGTAAATGTTGTAGTAAACCGAAAATTTTTAAATTTATAAATTAAGATAAGAAATTTAATAATAAAATCTGTTAAAATATTCATTAAAAATACTAATGTAAGTACAACTATTTAAAGGTATAAAGATTTTGGACTATCTTAATATCAACAACTTAATTGAACTAAAAGTATAAAAATGTAGTGTTTAATAATTAATTTAGTATAGCTTATAAATGTATTTTATTTAATCAATTATTTAATTATATAAATCAATTATATAATATTATTAAACATTATGGAATATTTTTGTACTTAAAAAAACTACAACACAAGGCTTATAAATAATTATCAAGCTATTTAAAACATATTTAATTATTAAGTAATAAAAGTTCACCACATATATAATAAACTTATTCTATTATATAATAAAATAATCAAATATATAATTCATCAATCATCAATATATAATTTGAAAGGAATTTGTAAGCAACAGGGTCACTCGAATTCGGGAGATCATTTCAGATACTCAATGCGATCAAATCCTGCAAATTGCGATTGCCAAGGACTAACTACTAGTCAGCATCAAGATTACCCACTATGGTGGACTGGACCACCATGGATAAACTCACCTGACTCTTGGTCAACTCAGCACAAGCAGAGTGACAAGAAATGCTATCAGAAGTTCGTCTTGGCATTCATTAGTAGCAGCAATTCGCAAGCCTGATTGCCACTAAGACATTATTTATAAATATTCAACACTCAATACGTTATTGAGGATAACCACTCTATGTATCAGATTTCCTATATGCCTGAGAAGAGAGCATGAGTCATTTTCAATCAATCAAATACCCTAACGGACTTGGAAAGGTCAAGGATTTACTAGATAAAGGCAACTAAAGCCGCCTACTTTTCCCACGAATTCAAACCCTGCTTTTTAAGGGACACTTGCCAACAATTTATTCAAGGTCCACTCACAATAATACCAGACCTATCACCAGTCCACTCACAATAATAGCAACCTCAAGACTATCCAGAAGGCAATTTATACAATAGCGTGTACAACAGTTTTGGTCACTATGGTTAGCACTTTACCTACAATAACAACAATCAATTTCCAAGTAGTATTATCCACGGAATGATGTTCAGATCGGATCATTAGTACTCATCCTGACAAGGCAATCCTTGTAGACAATGCTGACTAGAGTGGTTATATTCAAAACAGCTTCAACCACAATTGTTAGACCAATTCACATTCTGGCGGTACTGCCAATCCCTGAGGAAGAAAAGATAGTAGGATGATCATCAACAAATGTTCGGGATCAACAAATGGGCGGAATGTTCGGGATAGGAGCAATTTATAAGAACTTTAATATGCGAAAAGTACAAGCCTTCTAACACCTATGTTTGGAAACATTGATTCTGCGAATTCTTGTATATACGCGTAGCACCGTCGGTTGAAAATTCTCCGAACTTTCCAAAGCTTTGTCTTTCTGGAATTCTCGAATTTCCTAGAGCTTAGTCTCTGACATCACGAGATTTTCGGCCTAGCAACACACCTATGCATTGTTGCCAGCTTAGTAAGCTGTCGCGCGGAGATATTTGAGAGCAGCTCAACACGCTTTGATGCTCAATGTAAATTTCTCAATCAATCAGTTATCAATTATCACTCTACATAGCAACCACATTCCGCAATATACAATATATCAGTCAGTCAGTTTTATTCATTATAAGTATATAATTCAGCCAGACTCGGCAACAGTAAGCTAGTAAGCCAAATACAGTGAAGCCAATACATTTGATAACTATTTAATTGCGCTATAGTTCAAGTAGTCAAGAGCGCTGATTGCATTCCAAGAACGATCACGAAATAAGAAGCGTAATAAGCGTACTCATCACAGAATTAAGTCAGACAAATGAATTTCTATGAAGTTAATTGAAAGAGAACCATTTATTGAAAGCGCAAACGCCCCAGCCACGTATGGCAGTGATGGTGCGAACGCACCAGCCGTGACAGGCATTTATGGAAAGCACGTACGTGCCAGTCTCGTACGGTATTGATTGAAAGCACGTAAGTACCAGCCATGTACGGCATTGATTGAAGACGCAAACGCGCCAGCCGTCACCAGCATTACACGAAGAAGTACCAGAGATTTGCGACCTCTTACTTTCAGTGCAATCATTTACCATCAAACGAACTAGGTCAAGGATAAGAAGATTTACATTCTCCTACCTCTGCATATAGTGCCTGTTAACGTTACAACTACCACCGAGCTGCAAAATCTCACTGATTCTTAACACCATCTTACAAACATATTTATTTTGTAGTCCGCAAAATAAAGGGAATAAACAGCACGATATGCAAATGTGTTAATTATTGAATAAATGCGCTAACCCTTCCACCTGCCCGCAATCCTCCCACGGAATATTTGGGAGTTTCAGTCTAATCCTAGACAATTTGGTCTTTCTGGCTGGATAAGTAGAAATTAGTGCGATCCTTCATTATATATACAATAAGACGGACGTGCCACTGCACTCGAAGATACGAACTCGAAGACACAACGCAAACAAATCTCCTCAATACTTAAGAAAAAAAGGGAAGCATTAATTCCTAACATGCCAATCGCTCAAATAGGAAAGAACGCATAGCCAGTAGTGTCACTAAAGAGCAATTATCCAGTGAACATACGTTCAGGACTCTAGGTCAATGGAGTTGTATTGAAGCAATAATGGAGCTTTTAAAAATGCTTCCGTCTGCTCAGTTGGATACATCCATAACTGTAATCCTAGATATAAAGGAACAAATGGAAGAATTACATAAGGCCTTCCAAAAGGGACACAACCATCTTGAGGTAACTTGACTGACGAAGTTAAAAAATCATGAATACTACACGAAGTACGCGCTAGGGACAGAACTCGACCATTACTCAATTGTGCTATCACTTATCAAGAAACTACGTTGTGAACTAGATGAGTCAATAAGAATAAAAAAAAACGTCGAAAGACTTATTTTCAATGATCGGGCAGTTAAGAGAATTGATCCGGCTTCCACACGTTCCATTTCCCAAATTCTCAGCGATTATTTAGCATGGCCTACGTTCCGTGATTTTTTTTAATCAATGATCCTGAAAAAGAGCAACCTCAGTGAGGTGGAAAAACTGAATTACCTCCGTGTATCACTAGAAGGCTTGACAGCAAAATCCTTTTCGGGTTTTTCATTAACAAATGACTCTCTTGCACTGGTTTGGGAGACTCTAACAAAGTGATTCGTAAACACCCGGCTGTTTGTCTAATATTTTCTCCACCATCTCCTCTCCAATTCAACAACAGTAAACGATGATGCAAAGTCGATAGAGGATTTAATTATTGATGCAAGTAGCTTGTTAAAAAGATTGCACTTGTTAGACATCACCGATCCATGGGACTGCATAATCCTCTATCAAGTTACACTACAACTCAACCAGCACACGAGATGGGAATGGGAAGTCTCACTAGGCGACTCCGCTTCCTACTACAAGCTGAGCAACTCAAGACATTCTTAATGGCTCATGTGAGGGCTCTAGAAAATATAGAAGAAGATACGGCTTCAAAAAGCCTAGCACAGACTCATCCATCATCAATGAGGTCGTTGAGATCTTACCAATCGTCAGTAAAGACTGAATTACAAGGTCTATAATGGGGTTCAAAGCATAACAAGAAGTGCGACTGCTGTCGAAAGGCACATTTTGTGGCTAATCTTAGACAATAATAAACCTTGACATTCATAATAAAAATATAAAAAATATACTTTCATTTACAGAATTTAAAAACAAGTTTAAAATTTTAAATTAAAACAAAAATGTTTCATTAACATAAATTGTATGTAAAATTTGCATAAATTGTTATTCATAAATTAATTTTTATTTTATAATCTTTTAGTTAAGAATCATAAAATTAGTATTTAAATTTTATTTCCAAATAATAATTTTTTATTTATATTTTTATTCTTATTTAGGAAATTTACTACTAATTTATTTGTAGTTGATTTTTGAAGCAAATTATAAAAATTTCAACATATTTATATTTTTTATAGTATATAAATAATATATAATTGTTCGGAATTGATTCCGCGAATTTTCGAATATTCTAAGCCTTATTTTCGAGTGTCCTACAATATTTTCCGCATAACAATTTCGGTTGGAATTCTCTAACCTTCTAAAGCTTTGTTTTCTTGGAGTTCTCGAAAATTCTAGAGCTTTATTCTCTAACGTCATGTAAGACTTTCGGTATAGCAACACCTATGCATTGTTGCCAGCTAAGTAAGCTTCCGCGCGGATATTTAAAGGAAACACGCGACGAGCCTCGCTCTCTCAGTGAACTTCTCTCGGTGAAGACGTCATGGCACGGATTACGGTCTGTCTTACCAGGATCGGCAGTCGATATCCCTCAGCAACAATCCTTCAGTTTTAATTGCGTATTCAAAGGGCTTGTAGGCTCATTGTAGTTACATCATTCAGTCAGATGTTACAGCTACAAGCTAGTTACTCAGTTATGTCGATACAGTGAAGCTATTATATTCAATACACGTTCAGTTCTCAAGTACGTAATAATTGAAACTAGTCATAAGAACGGACATGAGTACAAGAAGCACAATATCGAGGCACTCATCACAGGATCCGGCAAGGCAACTGCATCTTTGTGAGTACGAACTAGCACACAGGCATTAAGACACAGCGTGCGACCAGGAAAGGCCAACAAGGCCCTTATAAAAGGAAATAAGGCACCACGTGTAGCCAATAAAACCTCTCCAGTGAGGAGAACTCAATACGCTACCATCACTTGGCACTACATGAGAAGTACCAGAGATTTACGACCTCTTACTTTTTAGTCTAATTATTTACCACCAAGTACAGTACATCACGAGGATCCGGAGATTTACGACATCCTACCCCTGTATGTAGTGTATGCTAACGCCACATGGCAATTACCACCGAACTGCAAGATCTCATCAATTCTAAACGCCATCTTAGAATCATTATTATTGTGTAGTTTGTAAAATAAAAGGCAATAAACAGCACCATAAGCAAATGTGTTAAACATTGAATAAATGTTCTATTCTTTCCACTTGCCCGCACTTCTTTCCTCCACCTGGCAAAAGGTGGTCATAGTCTAATCAAACCATCTTGGTCCTTTGATCACTGAATGACTGGAATTCTAAACAATAGTATATAATAAAAACCTTTCATGTAAAATTTATGATGATTCTGTTACAGTAAATATATATTTAAATGAATAAATATTAACATACTTGATGCTACTTAGTATTTATCATAGGAGTTTCAGTAAATATTAGCACAAGTCTAATTTTGATATATTATTTTAAACTTTTATTTTTCCTATTTTTATAAAAAAATGAATAATTTATATATTCCAATATTATCTATAATTACATAGCTCAAGATTGCTGTTTTGTATAAATTACAAATCAAATTTGATAAAAATAAATTTAGAAATATATTCTAAATCACGAAATATATTTCTTTTACACTTTTTTTTAGTAAACAATGTATACAAACACGTAATTTTGCATTACAATATTTAATAATTATAGTGATTTTTATTCATTTAGTTGATAAATATGTATTAATTATATCTTGTTTTAGATAATTTAATAGAATAATATTCATAATCAGATGCAGTTAAACAAAAATAATAATTGGCGATTTAAAAAAACAAAATCTACTTCAATTATAAAATTAAGCTTTAAATTATTACACATGTTTTCTAACTTCTATTTACATACAAAAATCGAAGTTTTTAATTATATTCCATATATTCATCATCATATTCCAAACATTATAATCTTACGAAATAGTACGACAATATAGAGAACAATAAAATTGTTATATTTTTGAACATTTCTTCCATTTTGAATTTCCTCAATTTATCATGAGAATTTTCAAGAGTTGACATTCTTGCAATAGTAATTTATATGTATACTTGGTTTATCTCTATGCGTCAGTCTTGCCGTTTCAATACGAAAATTCTGTTCAGTCTGCCAGTGACTTCGAAAACGGTGAATATATTCGATCGATTTTCGATTTAATTAATTTACGTAAAGCATTTTTAAAATACATATATATTTATTGTGATTCAGTGAATAGTACGCGTTCGTATGATTCTTCAGAAAAGTAAAGAGATAATATTTTTTAATGAACCTGCTGGTATTCAAAATTAATGAACAGTAAAAATTTTGACCTTTCGAATAAGAATAAGATGCATAACGTAAGTTATATATTTCGATTGTTAAGTCATTTACTAGAATCTAACAAAAATATTCAAATTTAATTTAAATATTAGTTTTAATTCAAATATCAATATTATTTCTAGCTATGATTATTAATTTTTCAAAATTTTTATTTAGAAATATTTATAGTTATGTATTTCTTATTTTGGATACACTTATTTTGTAATAGCGATTTAAGAAATACATATTTAAATAGTGTTATTATAATCATTTAAATAGTGTATTATAATCAAGTATTTGTTTACAAAATATTATTCTATATAATATTTTTAAATATAACTGATTAATATAAATAATAGTCATTATGTCTTCCGTACTCGTTCAATAATTTAAAGTGATAACTAGTTTAAAAATATTTATACATGTGTTTGCGTTTTTAAAATTTTTAATTCAATTTTGAAAATAATTTATTTAAAAACATTTTTTGGAACTCTTAAAATTTGCATTTTATGTTACATTATTATTTTAATAATATTTAAAATAGTTATATTGCAAAATATTTTTTTAAACAAAAATTATTTTTTAACAATTTCTTTTCATTCATCAATAGTTGTAATATATCTTTTCGCCTAATATATTAAAATGATAACATTTTTATTACAAATTAAAATACATTGAGTGGATATTTTATATTACATTTGTTTCGTTTTAAATTAAAATTATAATTTTAATAAATATATTTATAACAAATATAACTTAATATATAAATAAACAATACTTTTAAAACCGATAATCTTATGAAATTATAATGTATAAAAAAACAATTATTGACCAGTTCTTACAACAATACTAAATATACTGATATTTTGTGATTTTGTTTTTTATTACTACGTTTGAATTACTATTACAACTTATTAAACACAAAAGTAAAAATAATTTGGTTTTAATCCGATTAATAAATAAAGTTTAATTTTATACTATAACATTTAATTTGGAATAAAAAGTAATTGATTTCACGTAATTACGATAATAAGTTTACAATGAATATATCGATGATATCAAATAAGTGTTCTTATAAATTAGTAAGTTCCTGTTTTTCTGAGATTTTATTTACTGATGTTCTTATATTTAACAGCTTGTATATGAAAATAAAAAAAACCTAGCGATTTTATATCCTTATAGATATTTTTATGCACTTGCATTAAAATATTATGTACGTTGCAGTTAAATTCCAGGAAAGTATGTAATTTTTTCATAAACAATTAAAGTTTGTTAGTTTTAGTTAAATATTAAAAAAAATTTTAATTTTTAAAATGATAATAAATTTACTTATTTTTTTAATGAAATTTGATCATATTAAAATATAAGCGAAAATTTTATTTTATAACAATAACTAATATAATTGAAGATTTAAAGGAGTAAATTTTTCAATAAAAATTAAACAAGGATAATTTTAGTGGAGTTCTAATATACATAGATGTTTACATAAAGTCCTGCTTTTTTATAGAACTAATTTATATTAAAGTTTTATAGCCATTTATATGTATAATTACTTAATGTACTGATAATTTTCTATATTTATCTTGAATAATTTGATTTTTATATTTATCTAATTTTTCATATTGACTGATGTATTATTAATATTAATTATATTAATCGTAATTTAAATTAAATTTTATTTTTTTTAGTAATGATAATTTCATTTTAAATGCCAAGCATAAACTATAATTTATCTATTGTCTTGAGATAAGCTGTTTTAATAGAAAATCTTACTCTATATTGATTTAAATTTTTTAAAGTGAAGAAACAACTTTTCCATTTAAAGCTTTGTTTATTTTGGCTTATTTCTTAACTATTTTAATATTTATGTGCTGTGATAAGTTTATATTTTTATTTTCCTATTACTCATCATATTTAAAACTGTTTAAATTATTTATTAAAGAAGGCGATGCTACATTTGTTAGTCTCTGCGTTGTTTATTGGCACAGTGCAGGCAGGATGTCCGTTGTGGTCGACATCTAATCAAACTTCTGATTCACGGCTTCCGGGAGATGGAGGTTATAGAATAATCATCAGTGGTAATTATGATAAATACATCCCGAAAGCAGTCTATACTATCAGTCTCCAAGGTACCACAAATATTTGATTAAATCAAATTTTAAATATTCTTTTAATAATTACGATAAGTAATTTTAGATATTCAAATTTATAATTTTATACAATAAAATTTATTTATTTAACACATATTTAGTAAATTATTATAAAATAAAATAAGTTATATTAAGAATAAATATTTAATAATATTACAAATATTTATCTTATAGTTTTAAATTAATCCTAAAGTAACTTAACTGTAAATTAAATTAACATTTAGAAAAAAGTATATTGTCTAAAATTAAAAAGTATGAATGAAGACATTATTTTAATACTTGAAAATTATTGTATAATGACAATGCTAAGTGGAATTTATATATGTGTGTTTATTATTTATTATTAATATTTTATAATATCAAAATTTATTACTCATATAATATTCTTTACACTTAAAAGCTGGTTAAAAAGTATAGTAAAATAATATTTTAGTTTAATTGTGTTAAATTGAAATACTATGTATTTAGATTCCTATGTAATTCGCATATTTAATTTGAATGCATTATTGAATAGAAATGATACAAACACAATGAAAAAATATATTACTGAAAATATACAATCTTTTGCGTAAATCGAATTTATAAAAATTGATATCCTAATTTTTAAATTAATGATGCTTGAGTTATTATAATATAAATTCAAAACCATGTTGTATAAAATTTGTACAGAATGTTGTATAGAATTGAATAGAAAGTTGTATAAAATTTGTCCATTGTATAAAATTTTCTGTAAATGTTTTTACAAATTTTTATCTCTTCAATGAATAAATATTTTGTTATTTATATAATTGAAATATTGTTGAAAGGCCAGAGTATCTACACGAAACCTAAAGAATTCAGCCGTTTCACGTTATCAGTAGATTCGGAGCATGTTCCGTTTAGTTCAACAGCAAATGTCGGTTTTTTCCAGATATTCTCTGATTCTCTGGTGCAATTTAACGAAAACTGTATCAATACTGTATCTGAATTATCATATCATTCAAAATCTGAGGTAAGAATAAATTTATTTTTAATTGTGCAATAAATATCAAAATAATCAGTCAACACTTTTTAATCTTTGATACAAATGAACTAATTTTATTATTTATTACAAGTATTATAAATGATTGATAAAAAGAATTGATAAACCTATACAACTTTTAATTTTTATTTATTTTTGTTTTTTTTCACATATGAAAATCTTTAAGCGAATTTGTAAAATAATAATTATTATTTATTAATTTGTCTATCCAATAATAATATTATTTATTAATTTGTCTATCCAATAATAATATTATTTATCTAGTATATATTAATAACTACTATGTATTAATTAATATTTGATTAATCAATATAACTTTTAAATTATAATTTCATTTTCTTCTACATTTTCGATATAAATAGTTCTTTTTCGTATATTAATTTGCAATAGATGCATCATAAAGAACGAAAAACTATAATAAATAATTTTCCAAATATTTTGAAAGTATCACAAATAGACATTTTTGGAAAATTTAATATTATAATAAAAAAATTAATTATTATAATACAAGATATAATAATACATTAATTTTATCCAAAGAAAGAGTAATAAATAATAAATGTTGATAATTTTAAAACACAGATTTCATTATTAAAATGATTGCATATATATATAGGTGCGAGTATTGTGGCGGGCACCACCGCCAGGTTCTGGATGTGTAATTTTTACCGCCATGGTAATGGATAATTTAACTGAATGGTTTGCCGAAGAGGGTAATCTCGTGAAAACTTTTTGCGAAATGAATGTCAATGAGACTGAACAACTGAATAATTTACATTGTTGTGCATGCGACGAAGCTAAATATAAAGTATGTGATAATGACATTTTAACTCATTCGTATAAAAAATAATTTGAATTATCCGATATAAGTTTTATATATATATTAAAATTATTGTTTATTTGTAAATAATAAAAATATGTTCCATAACGAGGGAATATTTCTTTAAATAAGTCTCATTTGTATAATCAACTATGAAATTATATAATCTAATTTTTTAATGTGAACATACTTAAAAGTATGTTTTAATAATATAAATTTTTATAATAATAATTTTTTGTATTGAACATACAAGGAAAAATTCTTTCTTTGATTGAAAGGGTTAATATAAATATGTACAAAAATGAAATTATTAAATTATGTAGTAGAAATAAAAAATATATAATAAGACATAATTTTTAAATATATGCAAATACTATTAAATTTATGATTTACCACAAGCAAATGTTTTCACATTTGTATTAGGCACTAAATATATTTTAACTTAAAATTTAATTAAAATAGGTTATAATTACATATACAATTATATGTACTTAATAATTTTTATTATTGAATAATTGAATGTAATTTAAATATTTGATATTAATGACAATGAAAATTTTTAAAATGTACTTAGTATGTTTAGTATTTTTAAAGAACTCAGAATATATATTTGAAAAAATATATATACATAAACAATTTCTATAATATAAATTTTTTAATATCATTGCTAAATTTTGTACAGGTAAAATCATTGTATATTCTATTAATTAATATAATTAAAATATTAACATAATTATTTTTAATTCATTTTTATACTATATCTTTCTATTCATAGTCTTTTGCCTAAAATATCCATAAGTGAAGTTGGTAAATTTGATCACAATATATTGCATCTTTATTTTTTAAATACTTATGAATGATATGTTTAGATAAATTTTAATTGTACATTTTAAGAAAGTTTTTAAAAATTTATTTTTATAAAGTAATGATTTCATTACCATTCCTTCATATTCTTTTTATAATTTATAAAAATTGAACATTTTTTCTAAATAAAAATTTCAGATGGTATTAGAAGGTCTATGGTCAAAAGCGACACATCCAAAAGATTATCCAGAATCTCTGTGGCTTACGCACTTTAGTGATGTTGTCGGTGCCTCGCATGAAACAAATTTTTCATTTTGGGGTCGTGATCATATAGCAACAGACGGTTTCCGTCAATTGGCCGAATGGGGTTCAACCGCCGGACTTGAAGGAGAGCTACGTAGTAATGCTAAATATTTAAGAACCTACATAAAAGCTCCTGGACTTTGGTATCCAAGAGTAAATAATAAAACTAGTGCAAATTTCAAGTAATTTGTTTTTATTTTGTAAAAATTGTATTATGTAATATCCATTGATATGGATAAAAAATCCATAAAAATATGTATTTAAATATTATTGTAATTATCATATGCCATTTAAAAATTTTATGTATACATTTGTTTAAAATATTTTTAATTTAAATTTAAACTAACAATTATTAATTGAAAATATTTCAATATTTTACTTATAAATTATTGGGTAATATGACCTTCTTTATCAATGATTTTCAAATGATGATTGTCTTTCAAACATTCAAGTGTTGATCGTAAGCATCCAGTACTTTCGGTTGCTTCGATGTTCGGACCATCTCCTGACTGGATAGTGGGTGTTAGCAAGTTGAATCTTTGTCAATCCAATTGCAGTTGGATTAAGGACTTAGAAATTGACCTGTATCCTTGGGACGCTGGTACGGATAATGGAATCACCTACATGTCTCATAATTCAGAAACCCGACCTCGTGAATACATGAAGCTCATTACCACAATGTACCCTGAAGATCCACGCTCACCTTTTTATGATCCAAGTGGCAAACCTATGCAACCAATAGCAAAATTGTACTTAAATAGAGAAGAAATTAAGAAAAGTAATTGTAACGACGAAGATTTAGAAAAAATAGTAGCAGAATTTAATATGGTTGAAAACATTGATAATATTGAAAAACGTAAGTTTTTACAGATTTTTTAAAAAGCAATGCCAAAGTCCAATAATTTATGAATAAATATGTAATACTTTGTAATATAACAATTGGTTCAAATTTTATAAATTATTATTGATAATATATGCAAAATATGTTTAAAATGTTTTTATAAAATTATAGCATATATATAATATAAATAATATAAATTTAATCTCTAAAATCTAATTTCATATTTCAAAATAATCAAATGGCTTACAAATTTCATTAAAAAGATCATTGAAAGTTTAAAGACAATTTTCTAATGAAAATATATTTTATAATAAACTTTTAAGCAATGGATTTTGAATGAAAATAAAAATGTAATATAATAAATCTTATAAATTAAATAAATATTTTATACTGAAAAATAGTATATTTATTTAAATGGCTTACTATTCTAGAAAATGAAATAGAATAATTACATAAACATGTGTCAAATTTTTTGACCATTTATTTTTATTTGTAACCAATATAAAATTAGTTTTCGATAGTATAAATTACTTAATATTTATAATTCTATATTTATATTATTTACTATATTATTTATTATAATTTTTTTTCAATAAACAGCAGAGTGTATGACGACGGAATATTCACAATGGACCAAGTGTTCAGTAAGTTGTGGTAAGGGTTTACGAATGCGAACTCGAGCTTATAGGATACCCGAGAAGGCAAATATGATGGGTTGTACTCGACAATTAATTTCGAAAGAGATGTGCCTGGCTGATGTTGGTGAATGCTCGTACGTTAGATGATAAAGTTGTTGGCAACTATTTGTTTTTAGATGTTTTAATTTTAAAAATCAGTTTATTTTAAAGTTTATAAAATCAAGTTTGTAGTAAAATTAAAAAAAAATATACAAAATATGATTTCATTACCAGATAAAATTAAAGAATACTAAATTTATTTTAGCAATGACAAAAAAGTTTATAAAAGCCGATTTTTTGATTTTGATGAAAATCCGTTCCTCGATTTTGATGAGAAAGAATGTGCAATGAGCGAATGGACTAAGTGGTCAAGATGTGATCCATTTTGTTATGTTAGTGATAAAGTACGACGACGTAAATTATTAAATATTAAAAATCGTAAAAAATGCATCCATTTAAAACTTTTTGAAAAAATTCGATGTGATTGTTTTGTCTCTGTACAAAATGAGACTGAGATTTGTAAGGTACGTTCTAATAATTAAATATGGCCAATCTTTTAATCATTTGAAATATATTTTTTTATCATATTTAAGTGAAATAATTATTTATATAGTATTGTCAATATTATATATTTTGTATAGATGTAAAAATTTATTAAAAATAAATTTTCTACTTATATTACAATTATAATTAATTTTGTAATTATAATGTAAGGTCTATTAAGACTATTAGCTTATCTATTATTCAATAATGCTTTTTTATATGTTATATTTACATTTTTATATATAGTAATATATTTTGAACATTTACAACTTAATTAAATAGTTGTTGAAAAAAGTGAATATTTATTTTTTAAGACTACAGAATGGTCTGATTGGTCACCTTGTACTAAGACTTGTGGTTCAGGATTTCAATCACGATCAAGATTATTGCTTACTTTAATTGAAGATCGGCAAGCTTGTTTGAATAAAGTTAAACTTTTTGAGCAACGTCCTTGTCTTAATCAATACGATTGTAATTTGTACTTCCATACAACCAAAGGTATTAATAATGTCTTTTAAAAGATATTTTATATTCCTATTAAATAAATAATACATCTTTATAAAAGTAAAAATAATTATATATATGAAGTTTGTGAAATTTGTTAGAAAATTGTTTATTTTTAGCTATTTGTTCAGAAAAATTAAATCAAGGACCTTGTCGTGGATATTTTGAAAAATGGTATTTTGATTCAAAGCATCTTGTGTGCTTACCATTTATTTATGGAGGCTGCCGTGGAAACAAAAATAATTTTTCAACATATGAAGAATGTAAAAAAATATGTGGAAATGTAAGATTTTAACTATAGAATTAATTTTGAAAATATTTTATATATAAAAGAGTTAGTTATTTTCAACTATTATATAAATAAATTTATGTGTAATTATTATTATTGTATACAAAAAAAATTAATGTAAATAGTCCATATTTGATTAAATTTTTTTAATTTTATTGAAATATAAGAGGATTGATATTATACATAAAGAACTTATAAAATACACAGAATATTTAATCCAATTTGAATTATTACAAATTAGTATAAATATAACTAATGATAATAAGATATATTTATTAAAAATGTATTCATATATATGTTTAAAGTTAAGTCAAATGTCAAATAACGAATCGGTACCTACAACAGAAAACCCATTATCAATTAACATCAATTGTGAACTTTCAAATTGGTCCGATTGGTCTCCTTGCAGTGTTACTTGTGGTATTGGACAATATACGAGTTCTCGCTATATCAAGGTAATTACTTTCTTCTCTTAATTATCATAAAAATAGTTATTCATTTTTATTTAAAAAATCAGCATATTAAAATTGTTTTTTAATGAATAGATAATTTCTTCTAAATTATTTATATAGTACCTTACATACTTATCATTTACTGAAGATGCAAAGTATCTTTGCATTTACAATGCAAAGCATTGTCTTAAAACGAATACAACTTTATATGAAAAGTCTTAAAACGTTTTAGATTAATAAAAAGTATAAAAATTTACTTTCATTATAACTAAATTTAATTTTAATATTTCTTGTAAAAGTAAATAAGTATATTAAAAAAAAATATATTATCTCTAATAATAAAACGAAGTAAAATATTTAGAAAATACCACAAAATGACGGAACATCATGTCCAAAGCATTTACAACGATATACCAGATGTCAACTTGCTCCTTGTGAATAAATAGTACAGAATATTAGTATTCAATGTTAAATACTTATTTTTACTTTAAAAGTTTTTATTAACTATTTATAAACAATTTTATAAATATAACGAGTGATATTCTTTTTAATTTACATATGTAAGTAATAATTCCAATTATAACTGAACAAAATGTTTTGTATTTAAATGTATTTTAAGTAATATTGAAATACAGAATAATTAAAATATTTAATTGTATGAACAATATTTATTAATAATAAATTTTTATGATTTTGGAAGGAATAATAATTACATAGACATAAATTAAATATAAAAAACATTTGTATTTTTATATATTTATGTAGATTCACTCCTTTATACATTAATTAGGATTAACTTACATCAATATTTGTTCCTTTGTTTTCTAGAAATATTAAAATTTTACTATTTATAATAAATAGAAGAATAAACTGTTAGATAAATATAACTGAGATAATATAGTCTTTATTTTAACTTTTTACCAATAAAAACTTAATTTTTATTGAATTCCATTTGTCTATTACTTGTAGAAAAGGAATTTATATATTAAAATGATCAATAATCCATAATACAAATCATTTATCTTTCCAGCACTTGCTAGATGACTTTTATTAGGATTAAATTATTTTATAAATTTAAAAATTACCATTATTTTTTTTTAGAAATATGAATGTATTTTTACATGGTGATGGTGAATTTTTTTTTCAGATTTACATTTATATATTGAATAGTTGATTTATTTCGAAATATAAAAACTGAAATATATATAATTTATATAAATTAAAGTTAATAGTTTATTAAGTTACTAAAATAAACAATAATAAAAAATATAATTTAAAGTTGCAAATAATCTAGAAAAAAATTTATTTTTAATTTAATTCTAAAAATAATATTTATTTAAATAGTTATTACTATTTAAGTAAATCAATTGTCTTTTTTCTGCTCAACTTTATGTCATAAATGTACATTAATATGAAAAAAATTTTTGATTTTATATATTTGATTATAGTAAAGTAAGAGTCTATTTATAAAAGTTTTAATTAAACTACTGGAATGCAATAATTTATATATTTTAAATTAGGAAATTTAACTTTATTGATAATTTGTAATGTTTAGAATATGTTAAATGTATTTTACAAACGGATTATGATAATTAATTATTATAATAGCTTTTGGTTGTTTTTTTAAGTGACTTCAATTTCGCAGTATTGAGAATATAATTAAAAAATAATAATTTATTTACACAGATAAAGTTTGTTTAAGTATGTAAAGGAAGAAATAATCGGTTTATAAACAGTTCATAAACAGTATATCTTAATAGAATGACAATTCTTTTTTTATTGAAATCATATATATTCTATAAAATATTTTCAAATGAATGCAGTGATTGAAAACGTACTAGGATTTAAATTCTTATATGTAATTTTGTAGCATTACTTAGGGTCGATTGTAGTTATTCTAAAAGAAATACCAAGAAACTCATTTAATTTTCTATAGAATTTTTTTGATTACTAGTAAATGATTATAAAATCTATTTGAGTAGAACTATTTTTAGATAATTTGTTTTATAAATATTTAATGATAGAAAATTATACAAATGATGATAATTATTTTGTACTCTCTGTAAACACAATTTATTAACGATATTTACGTGATGTAGAATAATTTTGGTCTATACATTTTTACACGTTAAATTTGTGTTTAATTACAATATAAATAAAATATTACGATAATAATTGATTTACAAAAAATTTTGTTTTTGATCTATCGGATTCATTCGTGAATACACAGAATTAACATGTCTGAAATTGTTCAAATTTTGTTATTATTAGAAGTCTTTTAAGTATAAAACATTCGAAGAATTTCAAATGAAAACAAGGCATCATTGTGTTTCAGTTGAAGAAAATGTAATTCATCTACTAATTTTTAGTTGCTTACGTCTATTTAATTCTAAGATTAACCAATCAAGAAGACTTTTTAAAGCCAGCCAATTGAAACCGTTTCATCGTGCCCAGTTATGGGTTCAATACCTGGGGGCAGTTTCTGTAGCTGATTTGTTGAACCGTTACGTTTGGCGGCGATCACTAGATTGGCACGCAGGATACTCTCCTCAGTTATTGATGGAGTTACATCAATCGTTGAACTTATTATAGCAGTTAATTCATCTGCAATAATCCCAGAATACATTTCGATTAATAATTTTATTTCTCTAAATTTTATAATTTCATAAACTCATTGATTTTTAAATGGTTTTTTGCTATATACTTATAGACTTTTCTCAATAAATTTTTTTAACTGTAACTTTTAAAATAATTAATTTTGTATTAGCATATAATATCATATATATAATGTAATATAATCTTATAATAGTTAAAGTGATTAATATTAATATTTAAAATTAGTAACAATATTTTGAAAATAATATAAGTGAATATATTTAGCAAGTTAAGTGAAGCTTATAATTAATATCTTAAAAAAAAATTAAACTGTTTTCTAATGAGAATATGAATTGATGAATATATATTCAAATATAAATTGATATTTTTATTCTATTATTTGGAAGTTAAGAGTAATACTATTGCATAAACATAATGTTATTAGTATTCAAACAACCAAGTTTCCTGCAATTAAATATATTTTTGCAATATTTAATTATGTAGAAATGTTAATAAAAGATTTTACGCATCATTTCTGAAGTGTGCATCATCAATATTTTCTATTGTGAAATCTAGTTAAATATTAATTTTATACCATATACAAATAAGAAAATTATTACTTTTTCTGTTATAACAATTACATTGCGATACTAATAAAAAATATTTTTAATTTATTTTTTATAATTAAAAACAAGAAAAAAATTAGATTTCCTATTCCAAATAAATTTTAAATTAATGACATTGATGTGTGTTATTTTTTGTTTGGTATTTGTTATTCTTAGCTAACCTTGATTTTTTGTATCATTATTAACGGATATTTCATCGAGACTCGGCTTCTGACATTGTGTTACTTCATGGAAATTCATGTCTGGATTACGTGTTGGTACACTACTAGCCCGTTGAAGTTGTTTTTTACTAACATGTGAAATAAGCGATGAAGTAATTGGATGTATTGTACTTTCAATAGCAAGTGTTGTTGAAGTACAAATACTATTATTATCATTACTTATATTGATAGTAGGTGTAGAGGCACGGGATGAAGAAAACTTTTTACGCTTTCTACAAAGCGCAGCTAATGCAGGTGCAAACGCGTAACTAAAGATATGATGGTCTTCGTGCTGTTGCTGATGAGGTTGTTTTTGTTGCTGTTCCCGCTGATGGTAATGATCTTGAGATGAATGAGAATTAAGAAGGTGATGAGGATGATGTAGCTGAGAATCTGGAGATAATATATCCAATGAAGACTTCGAATTTGTAGAAACTTCTGAGCGTGAACCACCATCTTCTGAAGCTGGGGAATATACCGAGTCTTCAGAGCGAGAATGACCTATAAAAAATTATGAATAATTGTACTATAATAAATAATGTTTGGTATATATATTAATTCATAAAATAAAATATGCAAATAATATATATAATTTTAGTAAGAAAAATGTTATCTTTCTTACCTAAAAGTCTAGATACTCGGCCAGTTTTTGCAGCCTGTATAAGAGTGCTCCATTTACGCTTTCTGGAACTGTTTTGCGATTCTCTAGATTGTTTTTGATATGAAGTTAATCCCGGAACGCTATTCGTACTTATATGGTCAAAATTGCCTTTTGAAGTTGATCCGGGACTAAATATACCACTCAGAGTACTACCAAAGATTTCATGATGATGCCTCCTTTGATCGTCAGATGTTTGTTGTTGTTGATCTCTTAAACTAGCTATGAACTCAACCACTGGCGGTAGGGTTCCACTGCCGCTTGGCTGTGGTGCGATGTTGAAGCCTTTCATCAATCGGCGCTCTTTCTGACGATTCTTTTTACCGCCTACACCTAGCGATAACTCTTTTACGTTCCCGTCTAAGAAATATAAAGAACAAAATGAACAAAATAATGAAATTAAAATTTTTCTAAGTTACGTGTCGATTATAAAAATTATGTATTTTTTTTCTTGCAAATAACTTTATTCAAAAAACTTTTTAATTTAATTAATTGGCTTAAAAACATATATAATAAAATAAATAGTAAATTGCTAATAAACATAAATAATACATTAAAAACAAATAATAAATAAGCATGTAATTTGAAAAAAATGTATTTCAAAGATATGAGATCGAATATAAATAAAAAATTTTTGAATGTTCGATAACAAAAATTATATCATTGAATATATTAATCCAATAAATATAGAACAATAATTACAATTAAATATATTACAATGATTTCTATGTTGTATATTATTAATACAAATTTTTATAATAAGATGAATTATTCGTAATCTTTTGATTATTAAATGAAATTTTTTAAATTTTATAAATCTTTGGAATCTTCTAAATATTTTTAAATATACTTGTAAAGTTACTGAACTTATTATACATCTAATGAATTATATTTAATATATGAATATGAATATAATTTATTTGATGAAGAAATGTTTATAATAGGTATGGATATAGAAAATATTACAAAAATAAAATTAATTACACTGAAATGTATTTAATTTTTTTTTTGTAAAATTTCAATGTTTCCCAGAATTTTCAAAAGCAATATTATTTTTACATTCCATTTAATATAATTACAACATGCGAATAGGTAATGAAAGTATATTATATTTCTAATTATAACATTCACAATTATTTTAGTTAAAATGATGTAATTTACGTTTTTACTATCATTTTGAAAATCCTTTATACATTAATGGTAATTATATATAAAAAAATGTTGATGCAAATTTAATTATGTAATAAATTAATTAAAATAAAAAATATTATTGAATTACTATTTTTTTCTATAATAAATTTTTATATTGTAACTAAATATCCATAACTTTTTAAACATCAGTTTTTCTTCATTTGTACATTTTGTTATTTTTTATTTTAAACCATGTAATTATTTTTAGACTATGTATGTGATGAACCGCTGTAAGAGCGGAATACTACTACGGTATCTAAGTATTTTAAATAAGAACTTTAAAGATAACGATTGGTTGTATTTGTGAGATTTTCTATTCTTTAGTGAAATGCAATATGTTACTTACATTCTTATTTAACTATAGATTATTGATGAGATTTTATAAAAATGTAATCTACAAATATAACAATCTACAAATCATAAAATCTACATCCATCAAAAAATTGTCTTGATATAAACGAATTATAATGTTCATTTTGAGCAATTTTGAATTGTATAACATATTGGTTTATGAATAAATGAATAAGTAATTTGTTTCATTGTTAACAATTGATTTTAATAGATTTTCTTTACTTAATAAATTAATGTATAACTTAATTAATATATTATAACTTAATAAACTCAAAAAAGTAATTTCCTTACTTAATAAATTCATAAATATATTAAGGTTATTGTATTCTATATTGTTAGATTCACTAAAATTATTATAAGATGATACAAAGTAATGATACTGATGTCAATAAGATAATTAAAGTGGCCACGTGCAACTATCGTTATTTATAATTTTGCATTATTAGCTAGATTTCTGTTGATATATAAGAATTTGATTGGTACTTTCGTTGAGATATGTATAAACCTCTTATTTCTCTACCATATATTAAGAAGATTATAATTTAAATTAGATCAGTTTAACAGTTTTTATGAGGGGTTATTCAATATAACAAACTTTTGTAATGTTTACTTTTAACATATCATTAGTAAAAACATCAAAGTTTAAAATTATGGTACACGAATATTTTTACTTTAATTAAGCTACAATAGTCTTAGAAAGTTTATTATGGAATATGAAGTCCAATTCTGAAATAAGTAGTATTAAACTTGTAGTTTGAGATTTAATCAAAGTAAATGCAAAAAATTGGTTAAAAACACTTTTTATGTATATTAAAAATTAGTAAATATTTCCTTTGATATCTGAAGTAGTTTTAAAATATCTAACAAATTTTATAATAATTTGGATGATATGAATGATCATATTTTAAAAAATTGAGAAATAATCTAAAATGACATTAAAAAATGTAAATTTTGAAATAAGTTTATCAATAGATTAAAATAAAGATTTTCTAGATAAATTGTCTTATGCATTAGCAATTTGGTTCTTATTTTTCAAAGAATAATCAATACAGACAAATATAAATAATAATATAAAAATAGCTAATAACTTTAAAAAATTGCAATTTAATAATTGTACCAGTATATTTTTTTTAATTATTGAAAATTCAATATGAGCATTTACTGGAAATCTAACTAATGTAATTTTGAAAGTATTTATTAGAAACAATATAAAATTAATTATAAATACAAGAAAATGTAAAGTATGTGGCATTCTTATATTTTATGTTATTACAAACTGGCATTGATATTAAAAAATACAAAATATGCAATTGAATAAGTAGATATAGTATGATCATAATCAAAGGAAACATGTACGTTTAATATCAAGTGATAATAATAAAACTAAATAGAATGTTAATAATAAAAAATTAAATGTATACTTCTTAGTTCACAATTAAATCTACTTAGTAATAACTACAATACATTTGGAGGGCTAGTTAGAGTATACATATGTAGAAAACAATATTGTTTTAAGAGTATAGAACCAAAATTTAATACTCTATTTTCGCTCTACCATCAGAAATATATTAAGATTTTATTACTATTGATACACCATAGTATTTATCTAAAATATCTATATTATGTTAGAAAAAAATATAAGTCAATAAAACTCAACGAAGTATAATAATAAAAAACCAAGTTAATCATTTAGTCATATAACTAAGACTAATCGTTGTATTAATTATATTATTTGTAATAATGTAAGACAATCAATTTCCATTATCAATCAACAAAAAGAAATATTACTAAATGATTTTGCAACATACTAACTTAATTTCGTTTTGTATATTAAATATAATACATGCAATACTATAAAATAAAAGAGATGGTAACAATGTAGAAATATATCAAGTAAACAATTCAATGCCAATTTTTTTATTCTTTGTCGTATAAAAATATTTGATTAATTGAAGATTCGTTGAATTTAACAGCATCAAAGCTCATCAAAAGAAAAATGTATCTTAGTGATGTTCAATATATTTGCAATTTTCTTTCTAATAGTTTTATAATAACACGGCTCACTATATATACTTTCATTTTGTATTTTCATGTTGAATATAGTCAATTGTATTTGTAATTATTAAACAAACCCTACATAATTTCTTAATTGATAAAAATACATGTAAATATATGCATATAATTTATTATAACGGCTCTCAAGATCCATACGAAATAACTTGACTACTTTTCGAGAACATTTATATCGAGATTTTGTTCTTTAATCTATATAAAACATTGATTATATGATATCTATAAATCTATTTTTGAGATATATATAAGATTAGTGATTAGATGAAATAAGTAACAAAAGTATAAAATGGCTGTCAGCCAATAAATTAGTACTTCTTCAATTACCATGTAATGGATACATATAGTCAATAATTAATTAATTAATTACATATATATAAAATATAAAAATGAATATAAAATTATTTGTTTCTACCCTTACCGGTACCCGTTCCGGAAGTGTGTTCTGTGGCTATACCGGATTTTTGCAAGATATTAATAAGCTCGCATCGAAAGGCGCTGATATCTTGTTTGATTTCATTCACATCGTCCTCAGTCACACCCTCATTTTCCGTTTTCCGCTGTTCAACAGTTACGTAGCGCCTTACCAGATTGCGCATTATACCTTGATATCGAAAATCTCGTTCAGATGCTTGTTTGACTTTTCTCTGCGAATATAAACATAGTTAATTTCATAAGTAAATCAACGGGAAAGAATAATTCTTAGGTACTTCTAAAATAATTAAGTACATAATTTAAATTATATTGATAATATAATTAATAAGATAAGATAATATATTGATAAATGATAATACAAGGTATGCAGTAAAGTACATTAACAAAAAATAATTGTTTAGAATGTATTTAACAACAATAATCTTATCATTTATTTCTATTATTTAGCCATTATAAACACATTTTTTAAATTTTATACATACTATTATTTTAGTTATTTTTAACAATTTTTACACAATAATAAAGACAGATAAATTATAAAAAATATAAAATATTTAAAATAACTTTGAATAGAGATCTGCATCGCTTAGTGACGTATATTTATTTAATACTATATTTAATACTATGCGAGACCAGAAAGAAAAGAAGGATAAACAACCGATGTACCCAAATTTTGTTAGAGCACGTCAAACAAATCGTAGATATATCGTATACAAATTTTTTTAATTTGACAGAATTTTATAGAATTAATACTTTAAATAAAAAAATATTTGAAATCAAATCAAATTATTACTCTCTTTTAACCTCTTTCCACTATCAATTATTTTGATGCCCATCACCTTAAAATCTATTATTAAGTTATTTCTCTCCATAAAATATTACAAAATTAAAGTATATTTGGCAAAATAATAAAACTATTTTAATAAATGAGGTACTAATAATGTAATAATAAACTTACTCGTATAGTACGCATGTGTTCTTTTTTCGCTGCACGACTATGACCGCAAAGTTTTCTATAAATCCATTGGCCAATGTACCAGGCACTTTTCGGCGTGGGAATAATATTAAATGGTGGTGGCACAGTACCACCTTCTTCGAAATAACTTATCCAAAGCTTGCTGCGTGCGAATTTCCATTCAATATCTGCGCGTTCCTGTGAGTAACCACAATCGAACGTGGACCAATTTACATTACCATATATGGCCTATATTCTTTGCACTTGTTAATAAAATTAATGTTGTATTTCCTGTAATTCTATGTGACTATTCAGTGTGATTTTTATCAATATATTATATCTTGATATATTTATTAGATGTTAGAAACATTAATGCCGATTTTAAAAGATTCGTTCAACTGATACCCAGAACTGTATTGTAAAGAATTATTTAGAATTTATTAAGATTTATTACAAATTTATCCCATAAAATTTTTTTTTTTAATTAATATTTAATTAAATAAATATTTTAGCTCAAATCATTAAATATTAAATTTTTGTAATTTTCTATACGAAGTTATGTATAGCCAAAAAAAGTAATATTATGAATAAAATTAAAATTAAAAAAATTAAACCCTTTTAAGATTCGGAAAAGCTAATATCTTAAATATTTGTTAACAATATCTGTATTTATAAATATTTGAATACTATTTACATGAATAATTTAAATAAAGAAATGCTATAGATGATTACGGTCTCTGTTAATATTTTGGTTTCAATGCATACTATTTCTTTAAAGTTTATATAATGTAAAAAAGAATATGTGATAAGCTGAATATTTTTTTAAGATAATAAATTAAGAATTTAATAGTTTAATATTTTAATTTTCCATAATAAGTTTGTAGTTAATGGTAAAATTACAATTTTTTAAATGATATATATATATATATATATATATATATATAATTTATGTAAACTGAAAAGTAAGAATTAAAGTTAAAACACTTTTATTTAATTTCAAGTTTTTATATTACAATAAAATTACAATTCTTCAATTGAAATAGTATAACATTTTTAAAAATCATATGCATCATGTTTTAAGTTAGAAATACTAATACAATTTTAAAAACGCATGAAACTTGGGTAGAATTATATAAGTTAAAAAATTATACATTAACTACAATAATAACTTAAAATATATTCATTTTCTGTTATCTGCAAATCATTCATAGCATTTTTTCCATTTTTAATTCGGTTACACTTTCGTATCTCTATCTTGTTTATTTGTATATGCACGAGCATTATGGTTATTTTTATATCTCACATATAAATTTATTAGTAAAATGATCATTATTTAAAAATAAATGCAAATAGTAATCAAATATATAAGTTATTTTAATAATAATGCGCCACAACATATAATTTAATATATGATTTTTCAATTGATTTGGTTATATTTTTAATTGTTATTTTAAGTAAAATAAAGAATTTTTGTCTTTTTATACATAAATTGATTTTATAGATATTACAATATTATATTAGATCATTAATAATGAATTATAAACACGTTTAATTAGTTGTAGCTTGTTTTTAGATAGAGTTCATTACTAATTTACCATGATTTATTATTTGTAGAATATTTTCTATTTTAGAAATTCTGATCTATAGAACTGTAATGATAAAATACTAATAAATTATATATATTTAATTGAATTTTTAATGAACTTTATTGTCATCATTTTTAAATAAAATGAATGACAATTTTTGTCTGATTCCTGTTTTCTAAAATTACTTATGCTATATTTATAAGCGTAAATTATTAAAAATTCATGATTAAACTTTTATTACACTTGTAGGAAGTAAGAATATTGGTTCTAGTTACTAAGATTTTGGGCATAATGAATTTCTCTTAACAGATATAGATAGACTCATCAAAGTTAACAATTAAAAAAATATTTTTATTTACATTAAATTAAGTTTAAGTAATTTAAAGTATCCTCTGTAGATATTTATGACCACACATAACCTCTTAAATAAGTAGAGTTCAACAATTACCAAACTTTACATAATCTACTTTTTTTTTAAACTCATTATATTAGTTGATTAAATTTTACTTATCTTAAATATATTTTATTAACATCATTATCATTTTTTAACATTTTTAAACTTTACAATAATTAACATTTTTAACATATCGTATTATTTATAATATTTTTTACGTTATTTTTAAATATATATCGAATTTAACAAAAAATGTATTATTTGACAATATATATTTTCCATTAAGAATTCAAATAGCTGTATGTTTTTATAATATAAGAATACAAAATTTTTAATATAAAAAGTTTCACAAATAAATTTAATTGATTGTTTAGTTATAATTACATTATTAAAATAAATAATTCATATATAACGAATTTGTCAATACGCATTTTTCTTTGAAAAAATGTAGTTGATTACTTACAGAAATTAATTGATAGGAATGATTCATCATAGCAATAAGTAGATTTAACAATACAACGATGTTTATCACTGAGTAAGTACCAAACATCAGCATACCCCAAAATCTAGTAAAGACCTTGATCCCGTCTAATTCAAAGCTCTCAAGATCAACTAGGCCAAAGACGGCCCAAAAGAGCGTTTGTGTTGTTTCAAAAAGACTGTTAAAATTGAATAACATTTTTTATTTCGTTAAAATAACATACATATACCAAAGAAAAATATACGAAATATATGAATTTACAGCTCTTATTAATTTTATTTTAAAAATTAATCTATTTTACTTACAAATATTATAAACAAACATGAGTCTTAGAGACAATAATATTTTTAATATCTTTTCTTTGTAAAACTAAATAATTAGTTAAGTACTTTGCAAATCTTCTCCAAACAATACACGCGTTTGGATCCATAGTAATATTTGCATTGGCTGGTAGATGAGGCATCGCTGTTGGACATCTTTTCTTCTCCATGTCAGCGTAATACCATAATAGTTGATTCAAACCTTTATTAAAATTTATTAGTTAAAAATTATTTTTTAAATTTTCAACAATAACATTTTTATAATTTTGTTTTTTACAATTGTGATGGAATTTTTAATAGTTATTATATATTTCAAGCACATAAACAGCTTGAAAAGAAATTAAATTATATATTTGTATATTCGATAGATAATATTTTTAAAATATGAGAATAAATTATCAATATAAGTTTTGGAAAATTATATAATCAAGAGATTTAACGAGATTAAAGTAGAAAAAATTACCACATGAAAAAGCAAAGAGTACCAGCACGTACAAAAAGAAGAATTTCATAATATCCATTACCATTCTGGAGAGGGATACCTGTAGTGGTCCAAGATGAGGATTCACAGAGAAAATATAGACTAGCTTTAATGAACTGTAAAATTGAAATAAAAATAATCTAAAATAATGCCAATAAAAGTATTATATATAATAATATAAATAATATCATAAGATAAAAAAATTCAGTATGTAATAATATTAATATAAATGTTAATGGAATGCAAGAAATAATATATGATTCTATTATATTTCACTGGGTTATAATTTTCATTTTATAAAATTAATATAAATAATGTACCAAACAAAATATTGTATATGTAAATGTATAATATATCATAAAATTTAAAAAATATTCAATCGAAGAGATCTTTACAGACATTTAATTGCGCAAAAGATCTCCACAATTAAAAGTAATTAATATCTATGTATCTTAGAAGAAAACCTTTTATAATCCATATTTGTTATAACATGAAATATAATTTTGTATATCAAAACAAAAGTATGTAATTTTTTTGCAATGAATAATACATATACAAGTATCAAACCTAAAAATATTAGCAGCTGAGAAGAGACCTTCAGATATAAGCATGGGATCCCATGTATCCCATTGTTCACGTTGCAGTTCTATTATTGTACCGTACACCTGACCTTCATTTTCCTTTTGTACTCTATAGTAAGCAACCACTCTTAACGCTACTGTTGCCACATACAAGGAATTTGTCACGAAGTCAATCACGTTCCACATATCATTTACATATTCTTCTAAACCAACGTCCCACAATTGTTTTACTTCCGACCAAATTAGTCCAGAAACCCAAGCGAGAATGAACCTAAGCAAAAAATAGGTAAAAGAAGTATATATATTTATTTAAGTAATAGTATTTCAATATCATTTCAATGAGTCGAACATTTTTTTAAAAAATCGTTTTTTTTAATAGATTCAACTAGACATACAACAATACTGCTTTATTGATTGAGATATTTTAAATAACTTTTAGAATCTTTTAGTTAATTTTAGTGATTTCATATTCAGGAATTTTAATAAAATTTCTTAATATTGTTTAATATAATTTATCTTAATATAATTTATTGATATTAATGATATTTAATTATTTTGAAAATATAAAAATTTCTGTACTATAAATTGAAAAAGAAATAAGATATTCTATAAGAAATAATAATCCTTGTTACTATTTGTATCACTTTTGTTATTACACTTGAAAAACGTTATCAAATGTTCATTTAGTTAAATTGAAATAATTAGGGAGTAATTCAATACTAATACTAATTGAGTTTTAATTTATTTTATCAACTAGATTTCGTTTTAAATCTTAAATTATTTAATATTTATTTATATTATAATCATTACAATTATAATTATAATTATATTATAATAAATTATATATTAAATATATAATTTAATATAATTTATATTATAATTTAAATTATAATAAATAAAATTATTTATTTATAATCTATTTTATTTTATTATCATGATTGTTAGTAAATAATAGAAATCATCAAAAAATTTCTATAAATTTCAAGAAGTAAAGATATGTATGATATTTAAAAATAATATTGAATTATCAGTTTAAATTGGATTTTCACCATTCTACTATCGTTGGCGCAGCACCTCTTTTTGTTGGCTCAACCTCATGATCGGAAATATCACGACCTGTCCAAACACCGATTACGCTTTCTATTCTTTGACTTGCCAGTATTAACATAACTATAAACATAATTATTAAAATTAATATTGACTTATAACATTTTTTAATTATAATTAGTTTTTTTCTAGATCAACCAATATTTGGTTTTTAGAGTATATATTCTTTAAATTAAATATTAATTGATTTAAATATTAGTTAATTGTTCCAGAATCTTCTTGTTTTAGATTATACTGTAGAATTAAAATAAATTTTCTAGTGATATTGAGGTAACAAATATTCCATGTTTACTTTAGTAGTGTTAAACTAGAAGAAAATTTCGATATAAATATCCCAAACAAAACTATCCTTTCGATATAAAGTGAATGCTATTAGGGTCTCATATGTATTTTTTCATGTTTCATCCTTTAATGTATCTTTAAATATATTTGTATTTTTAAATGTCAATTCATTAGCCGATATCCTAAGTTATTTCAGAATATTACAGTGTGTATCTTTGTAAATCTTGTTTAATGATATGATAACTGGAGAAATCATAAACCAATATATTATTGGAAGATGCAGTCTCAAAGTTATTAGATAGATATAAAATATAATTCAAAATTTCATAATCCATCGAAATATTTGCATTATACTAAATATAAATCTTTAGATCAAGATAACATTTGCATACCGCTTGTCAGTGCATTGAAAACAATCTAAATTTAAGGTTAAATTATATATTTGTCTATTTTATAATTTAATATATTATTCTATCAATTCAATTTACATAAAAAATTTTAAATTATTCAATATAACCTGTTATTTCTTTTTATCCTTTATTAAAAGAAATTAACACAATCGATAAGTAATCAATATTCAGATATTGCTTATTAATGATAAATACAGAATACAACATTTTAAATTTTCAATGGGGATTGTATTTAACAATGAAAAGAAATTTATCCTACTTTTGACAAAAAACATATTAAAATGAATAAAATTTCAATAAAAAAATAATTTATTGAGAACCTTTATAGAATTTAATAAAGAAATATTTTAGTGATTTAGAAATAAACTAGTGAAGATAAAATAGATTAAAAATTATACAATTGTAAGTTGTAAGTTGTCTATAGAATAATAAATCCATCAATTATAAGTTGAACAATAGATATATCTATGGAAATATAGTTACAATAGTATTACTCCATTGCTAGAAATATGTGAGTATGCATGCAAAAATAATATCTATGGAGTGCATATTTTTGAAATTTTTTATTTAGTGTAAAATATTTATTCTGGTAGTTCAAAAACTATTTTTTTACATAAAGTTCTTTAAATAAATTACAAATTTTATTACGTTAAGATAAACAATTTTAAGAATACATAAAATGCTTACATAAAAATGTGAAATATGAAGCAGAATGACATATGAACTTGATAAAAGGTTTTCTCATTGTTTGGCCAATTACACTATGAGGTGCAATGATGTAAGCAGCACTGAAGAAGGGAAAAAGTATACCGATGCGAACTATCTCCAAAGCTTGCAAAACCATATTTTTACGTCTAAAACCTGGTAGGCCTTCATACCAGATTGATGCTAATAACTGTTGCACATTTGGATGTGCCACAAACTGTAAATTAAAACACAATTAAGTTTAGTAAAATAAATGAATTTATGTCATTTAAACAAATTCAGTTTATTTATTTAATATTTTTGAATAATTTTAATGTAGCATATTAAAAGTTTATTCGAATATATTAATATGTGTTTGATATACATTTATTAAAAAGCAATTAAAAAGAATACTTGAGCAAATTGAAGGTGCTTATTTAATGACAATTATAACCGAAATCTAATATTTATATATTAAAAATTATAGTTTATTTACTGAATACATAAATATCAAATAAAAAATATTCTATTATAATTGTATTATAAATATATAAATATTATTACTATAAGAAAAACACTATAAAATTAATTTCTAGGAATTTATAAATGACTTTATTTATTGTTAAAATCTGCCGCTATTATTCAAAATGAGATGTCAGTTTATTAAATAAATATTTTTAAGGTAGTTAAAAATTAAATAATAAAATAAAAAATTAAATAATACAAAAAATAATAGAGACTTTTATAGATTATAAATAGGTACATATTCATATTAATAGACCATGTAATGTAGCCATATGATTTTGTTTATATAATAATGCCTTTAAACATTGAAGTAAATATTATATAAAAATCCATAATATATATATATATATACATATATATGTAAAATAATTTATGTTACAGATTTGCTAACAGTGTGTTAAACTACTTTATTATTCATTATACTATTAGTCACCTTTTAATTATACTTTTTTTCGATATTAATAACTTGATAGAAAATATTTATTTTGCATTTTTAAGAATTTTTTTGTTTTAAAATTATACACAAGTTTACTGAATTAAATATTTTAAAATGTTTATTGTAAAATGTTCTCGATGTATTTAAAGCCTTATACCGTATCCGCATAGTCACAAAGGAAGATTCTTAAACCTACTAAAGTTTGCTTTCCGAGAATTTGACAGAATTTCCAAGAATTACGAACTCTAAATGAACGAAATCATATATAAGGAGCAACACATGACGAAGCAAATTAGTCTTGTTGAGTAAGTCAAAGTGCAATGGTGCACGTCACACAGTTAAAGATCTACACGTCTGTATTGGAATCCGTGCAAGGTATACACATTTATATACAATATTTATTATCTATTGCTGGCCAGCTATCGGTGCGTCGTTCGCAACGTGACTCTAGTCAGACCGCACTGAGTTCGACGACATAGTACGGCATTTCCAGCAACTATTTATATCATTTATTGTTATTGCGGCTCAGCGCCGACGCTATCGGTCAGACCTCTGCAACTTGATTATTATCAGACCGCTGAAGAGGGCGCCGATACTGTTAGATAGTCCCCACTAATTCATAAAGATCGTCGATGAGAGCACTTATGGCTTCGCGACTCTTGTGATTCTCCCCTCACTAATAATTACCGATGAGAGTGCTTATGACTTCGCGACTCTTGCCATTCTTTCCCCTGTAAATGCACCCCACACCCCGTTGTTATTACGGCGGTACGTTCTATTTCAAAAACCTTGGTCTTCGGATTATTCTGATGGCTGGAATTCTAAACAATAGTAAATGTATAATAATAGAAGAATAAAATTGTTTTCTTTGTATGTATAAATTTTTTTCTCGTCTCACAGATCTATTAATATTCTTAAACTTTGAATATAGAATATATTCAATTTGAATTAATTCAAATAATTCAATATTAAGAATAATAATATAAGAAAAAATATTTATAAAAATACTAATAAAGAGAATGAGTTAATAATTTTATTTTTTATACTTAGTGTGAGCAAATTCTTTATAAGGTCCTATCATGCATTAATAACTATATTTACTAATAATTAAACTACTGCAGTTTACCTTTTTTTGACGAAGCTTAACTGCAAGTTTAAGCCGATTAAGATGCATGCGTTCACCGTGTTCAAATGCTGGTCCACTCGGATCATGGTTTAATAATACTTCTAATTCATATGAACTTCTCGTGTGATCTAGAAGAGCTGTAGCGAAATCTTGACATTGTCTGCGAAGTTCCTAAAAAAGAAAATTTTAATTTTGAGAAAGTATTTTTTAAAGTCTTTTATTGAATAACTTACTCTTTATTAAGTAATTGTTTAAATTTCAAATGTCTTTTAATAAAATCTTCATGTACCTTCCTTTATTTTTTATAGATACACAGATTTCAGATAAATAAAATTTTCTTAAAGTGTGATACTTTAATTAACCAAAATTAGTTTGTGTGGTCTTAAAAGAAAAAAGAATTTTTTCTCTATAATAGAAAAATGAACTTATTATAGCTTAGATAAAACATTATATCTAACAGTCATCGATTTCTTATTTTTAATCAATCCTAAGAGAGTATTAACAAACTAAATATTATACTGATTTTATATGTAAAATGTATTAAAATAAATAATTAAATTTTAATATCTTCATTATATATTTTGAAAACATTTGCATTAAATTAATATTATTATAATTAGCTATGTCATAAGTTACGTAAGTAGTGGTATCTCTTTGAGATAAGATATTGTTGGTTTTAAACGTATTTTTTGACGAACAATTGATAAAATATAAAATTTAAGGAATTATACGATTATGAGAAAGAGGAAAAATAATAAAAGTAATATAAATTACTCGGAAATGAAGTGGAGAACAGGTGTAGAAATTACTCAAAGTTCAAATGAAAATAGATGAATCAAAACAAAAGAATTAAAGCTGCAGACTGAAGTTTTGAGTTAACAGAACAATTCTCATATTAATTTATACATTTTTTAAATAGAAAAACTTTTAAATTTCTGGCTTCATATTCTAATTGATTAAGTATTTAGTAATTCTGGTAATATGTTAAATCTATATCAATATGCCTATCTCACGATTTCTGTTTCATTTCTCGGTATATTGCAAATATTATAAATACTCTGTTTCTTAAGAAATGTTATTATTATTTTTTTAACAAATAAGATCACCATATCAGATATATTGAAAGAGTAAGTTTCCAACCAGCATCTGGAATATTTAGAAAATTGCGTGCAGGCAATTGCAAAATATCAATATGAAAAAAGGAAAAAAATAGAAAAATAAACTGAATATTTTACTAGACTACGCAAGTATTAGAAAATCCAAAGTTTACATTTTTTATTGCGTATATAAATTATATATCTTTGATATTATTCATTAATATATATTTTTTATTAACTATTAAAAAATCATTTTGTAATTTTTTCAGATTAAAGAAAAGAATTTCTGAAATAGATTTTATTCATATTTTCAAAAATTAATAACAAAATCATAATTATTTTATTGCATTATTAAAACTTCACTTACAAGTTTAATTTTAGAAGTTAGTTTCAAGAAATAATTTTTTTTTAAGTAAAACATGATTATATCCAACTTTATGGTTTGAAAAAAAAAATTTTTCCTTACAGATGTAATATATATAATTAACATATTTGTACATTTACAAATATTTTATAAACAGATTGATAAATATAATTATGATTCGAATAATTATATAATCTCATTAGTATATAATAAAGCCGAATTACTGGAACTAACTAACAAAATTTAGTTTTAATATTCAAATACAATGCCAAAAATAACAAACAATTAAGGAAAATTTCTGATTATTTCAGAAAGTTGTTAAAATTTATTTAAATCAAATTTTGATTTTGAGTTCTTGAATGTGTTTATCCTTTTAGAATTGTCAAAGAAAACTATATTTCTTCTCATGTAATATTTTTAATATTAATATTTTTAACAAAGTTATTATATTTTTCTAAAATTTTTAATATTCCTAATTAGCAATTTCTAGATATTGTTTACATGATTACTACGCCTGATACAAGCGTAGATAATAGTAAAATACTCTATTGTTTTTTAATAAATTGTTTATCAATCTGTAATTATGAATCAACTATTTATTTGCCCTGAAATAAATTATAATATTTATTATGTTTATCTCGTAAAAACGAAGAAACATATTTACATGCTCAAAATATTATATATATAATATCCAATGAAAGTAGAAATTCATAAAAATTATTAATTTGATTTTTATTCCGAATAAATAATTATTTATAATTAATATAATATATTATAAAATTGAATATATTAAATAAATATTTTAATTGTAAAAAATTTATATAACATATAAATAAAATAAATGTAATTTATAGGGATTTATATTGAAAATCTTAATTACTGAAAAGTGATAAAGTAATAAAAGAAATCAATAAAATTATTGATAAAAAATCGTTACAAATTGTTAAGTTTTGAATATTTATTATTTAATATATAAAAAAGGTAGAAGAATATATTAAAAAAGTAACTTTACAAATCAAATTAAAAAATGAAGCTACGGTTAAAAAAATATTTCTATAATTATACTCTTCTAGTGTATTTATTACAAAATATTGATGAAATGAAATTTAACAATGTATGGATAACATAGGTACTCGAAAAATATACAAGTAAAATAATTTAGAATTTTCAATTCATTATTTGCATAATTTAATCTATTTTCAATGATTAATTAGAGTAAAATTATGATTTTTTCCACTTTTCAGAATTATACTAATAATTTTCGGGTTTGTTATATTTGAAACTGCTGTTTTTGAATATATAAATATATGTGTTACTTCTACAATTTTTTTTATTTATCAATTCAAATAAAAAAGTTTATATACATTTTTTACTGATATTAAGAGTCTCGAAATAAAAAACAATTATATGTAAAATATTAATGTACTTAAAAATATACAAACTTTATCGAATATTAGAAAAATATTACCTGGTATTCACATTTAAATTCATGTTCCAGAAAGGATAGGCGACGAAGTTCCCAGGAGAGCTCAAAGGCTGTGAGTATTGGATCTTTAGAGGAAAGAGCTATGAGGGAAGGCGACGCAAGTGCTCTGTAAGCGTTTATGCGACTCCTTGAGTGCCTAAGTGAATCCTCCAGGCGTGATGTGACACATTCGTCGCATCTATAACATTCCCAATTACTATAAAAAACTAATTAAAAAAGTAATCATTGATATCTCAAATGATTATTTAAATGAAACACAATTTAAGTGTCTAAAATTTATAAGAACAAATATCGATAAGTCCTTTACTACTAATTAAATTATATTAGTTTATAAATGTAGTTATATTGATTTTGAAAATTTGTATATTGAAAATTATATTGGATATCCTATTATATTTTGTATAATACATTTTTATCAATATTTAATTAAAATTCAAAATTTAGTTTTTAATTAAATATATATTTAATATTATTGTCTTATATATTAAATATAAATATATTAAATACTGTTGAACTTGTTTCTGAAAAACGAAATTAATTATTATGTATTTTATGGTTCTTACCCACAACGAACATCGTGAGGCATAGGTAGTGTAGAACCTCGATCCAACAATATTTTAATGATTTCGTAGTTATCTCTATGTGCTGATAGAATAAGTGGTGTGATGTCTGGTGTAAATGTTGCTGTATCTGGCGGTAAAGCTTCCCAACTCTAAGTTATCGTAGAAAATAACACGTATTTATAGTTATAGAATTGTATTCAAAGTACTTTTATAAAATTTTCTTAAAGTATTAAACGGAAATATTTTTTTATTTGTGTATGTTTGAGAATCAGAGACTCCTTTTAGTAAGGCAATAAAACATCTGGCAAGTAATATCATGAAAATTGTATTTAAGACTTCAAAACTTTCCTGCTCATAATTATTTTGCACTAGTGTCATAAAACATCTGGAAAACTCTAGCGAAACGTGCTCATACTCCCAGTGCAGTAGAACCCTAATGTGTTTATTGCCGGGAGAACCCTAAGGTAGATTCAAAACGTATATCAGATATGCGTAAAGCATTGAGTACAAAACATTTACTTAATTCACTGCAACCCAAAACCCGCACGTGCGACAACATGCAATGACTATACGTGCGCACTCGGCCTTTAAGACAATGCTTGCATTGTTCTTGGCTATGCCACATCTGGTCGATCGCATTGGAAAATTGACCACGCCCAAGCGGACCCTTCTTCTAGCCAAGTCCCAGAGAGGGATGAGGCAACCAAGGAGAAGTGACCAATGGAAAAGGCAAGGCTCGCCACCTTCCGACACTTTCCCGATTAGCAAATTCGGAACTGAGCCCGGAAGGAAGTGGAAATGAAGGCATGCATAATCTATTATGCGGCCCAAGATCAACCTCTGATTGGTTAATTAATAATGGAAGAAGGGATTCCAAGTGGAGCGGGATCAGCGAACCATTTAAGAAGGGACTACGTAATGTACCTTCACTTACTCTTTCCAAATACTTTTTACAGTATAAAGATATGTCACGACCTACTCTCACGGAGGAGGACCGGAGAGACAAGTCATTTAGCTAGCTGAGTTTTAATAAGAAGTTCCTTCTACGATTGTGAATTAGTGTACAGTTGAATTGATCTCATCAAGACTGGATTGCATAGGACCTGACCACTTGTAATCTCACTTGGAGATAAGGAAGAACTAAAGAGTTGCAACATTGCAAGGGAACGTCATAACAAGCCACCGAAGAGAGACTGGAAAATCACGATACACTGCAATTAAGTTCTTACAGCTAGTACTGATTCTTGATTTCTCGGCTTATGTAGAAGATGGGCGGATTAAAGTCCAACTATGGAAGCTTCCCGGACATACTCTAGAACAAGACCAGCTACAAAA